GTAATCCTGACGATCAATTGATCGATCCAAGAAACCCTGATCGAGCCCATAGTATAACCAAGTGTAATTCCATATCATCGATCCATTCCATGTATGTGGTCCACACTCCAATCATTTTCCCACCGTGAATCAAAACTCTTCGATCGACTTCACCACAACTTCGTTTACCAGGATATACAGCTGGTCACTGACATCACCATGTGATAAAATAGACGCCTTGCGTCTCGTAGCCGACACTTGGCGACGCTGCCGTTTAATTTACAAGACCGTACCTTTTTAAGTACTTGAGATACCATCATCCCCAAGGTCGATATATTCCTTGACCTTAACCTGCTCTTTACGAGAACCGATGTCCCTTACCGACATCCAGTGAGTCACTATCGCAGGTGACATCACTAACAATGTCATCGACCTTAGCTTGCTCTATACGAGAGCCGATATCATTACCGACATCGAGTGAGTCGTATTTACGGTCAATATCACTAACAAGGTCATCGACCTTAACTTTCTCTATACGAGAGTCGATGTCATTATCGATATCCAGTGAGCCGCTATTACAGCCAATATCACTAACAAGGTTTTCGACCTTCACTTTCTCTATACGAGAGCCGATGTCATTACCGACATCCATTGTCTCAATATTACTATGTGTTTCACTTAACGGAGTACGTGCCGTTCCACTAAGTGTCACTGAGCTCTGCTCGACACTATTATTGTTGACGTTGGAGTTTATCAACTCAGACACTCCAATATCCAGCACACTAACTGACTCCGTCAATGGCTCGCGCCAATAGAGCTTCTGTTTCTTAGCGAAGGGTTCATGACTCTCCAAAGCTTCGCTAGGAACATTGCGCGTTGCGCCTAGGTTTCGAATTTCCAATCAATCCATGGCTAATGACATTCCAGCCAGGCCATACCGAGAATGAAAATCATATCTCGAGTCCAAATCTCGTACAAGACAGTGTTTAACGCTATTGAAGTCAAAAACCTTTACACCTAAGTTCAACGGAACTTAAGGAACGGTATCCCGTACACCTGTCGCGAGACGCACGGTTATACTGTCACCCTCTTGCGATTTTAGCGCCTCAGCATACAGCTGACTCCCTTCAAGGGAACGACGTCGAACATAATTACCTGACGCCCCTGAGTCAATTAGAATTGACCATGGCTTCTCAAAATGTTTAATGGTTGCCGACACAACCAACAGGCCTGGATTGTATTCCTGTTCCATGGAAGCTTTCACGGAGCCACCGGGGATAAGCCCTGTTTATCTCTACCTCCTAAAGCTTTATAGAGCTTAAATCTTCCCCAGTAGGGCGCCCCGAGCCTACTAGGAGCTGACGTTTTCCCCTGCCGTGCTCACCTTTTGGCTAGTAGCAAGGTTACGTCTCTGCCGATTCTGACGTTGCTTTTGCAACGGAAAGCTAGAGCGGAGGTGCCTAGTGCTATCGCACATGTAACATCTACGGATGTTACTTTGCTGCTCTGCACCTTGTAGCTCAGCTTCTTCAGCGTGGCTGAGGTCCATGGGTTCCGCCCTATTAGAGGCATTTATATTATATATTGGTAGACCATAGCGAGAAAATTTAGGGCTCAGCGTTAAGCGCTATGCTTACTGCCTCTTCAAACGTCGAAGACTGGATACGAAAAACTTCTGTCCTGGCGACCCCAGTACGAAGTCCTTCCATATTAATGTTTGCCCGGACTTCCTCTGTCAGAGGGTCCTGCTGCATAGCAGCAATAAGTGTCCTTAAAACTTGGACATAGTCCGATAATTCTTTCTTACCCTGTTGGGTAGCTAAGAAGCGTGAGCACACATGATAATCCTGATTAGGCGGTGCAAACACGCAAGTCAATTGCTTTTTAGGCATATCCCACGTGGGAAATGCAACATTTACAGAGACGTCGCTCATTAGAGCACACTATCTAGCTCTTCCACCGAGCTTAGAAATGGCGAGGGCAACTCGTTACTTATCTGAGACAAGCATGGCGGCATCCATTGCCAGTTCAACCTCTCGAATCCAGAGAAGAAGATTTTCTCCCTCTTTCCCCTCAAAGTTTTAACCGTTTATAATGAGTGGGCGAGCCTTTGGCTTTGACTCGGGCACAGGCACCGGGATTTATTTGAGGTGAAGTAGATTCTTAGAATAGTATGATGATACTCAAACCACGGATTGTTTACTGTCGTATGGGTCCCTCGATGCCGCGTATGGACCTTCTCTTACCTTGTGTACCCGTCGGCTTGCGGGTTGCACTCTTGGGAGACTTGGTGAGAAATGTAGACGTCTGCCTTGAGAGAGGTAGACCTGGGGGGCCTCGAGTGGATTTGCTTCACTCAGTAGGACAGTAGGTGGCCGCACGGTCGACCTTGTCGAGAGCGAACATCAAACCGAATTCTTTAGGGATCTTGTCGTCCCTGGTCTTTCCTTGTTGTTTCAGGGGTATTAACCGCCTGACCTTTGCTTTGCTCCCGGACCGTGAGGTGAGGGAGACCGCTTCCGATAGCGGGTCTTTGGAAGGGTGCTACTCGAGATGAACCCACAGGCCAAATATATCCTGGAGCTCTATTCTCACTTGATTGTCTGACCACACGACTGTCTTCAGGGGGGGGGCAAAATAAACCCCTACCCCGGAACAGGTGGGAAGACAAAACAGGTTTATTTGAGCGTGACGAAGTTGTGCCACGCGTCATTATATTATTGGGGTGACAGACTTAATAATTAGCCAATAATAAATTGACTTATGTATTGAGTGGTTCCCATGAGCTAGGGAACATATTCGCACTTACTGCGAATTAAAACAAATCAAAAATAAAACAGAGTTATACTTATGAGTTATTTAAGAGCGCTTTCTCAACGCCCCTTTAGTGTAAGACGGTGATGGGTATTTATTCCACTACACAATCGATGAGGGACCCAGATATACCCCTGAGGGACCCAGGTCTACCGAAAAGGGACCGGGTCAGTCGAAAAGGGACCAGGTCTGCCGATGAGGGTTCCAGGTTTACCGGATTGGGACCGATGAGAGACCGGGGTCTACCGATGAGGGACCGGGTCTTCCAATGTTGGACGGGGTCGACTTCTTTCGGTACTCTTGAATTGTTACCTTGATCCTGATCTCCCCGTTGCTGGCCCTTAAAATTGTTCCCCACTAACGGTCGTTTACCCCCTAGGTCCCCTTTCTCTCCAGTTCATTTACCTGGTAAGCGGCCCCAGGGTCCTTCCATCCAACTTGTCCCTGAGTTCTTCACATTTTCGGAAAGTACTTCACCACTATTGCGTTGGCGCAGCTGACGCTGCCTGGTCGTGGACCTGCCCGAGCAGCATTGCCTCATAGCGCATGAAGGCCGTAATGCGAGCATTAAAGACCTCCGGGCAAAAAGAGCCTCGATTTGATCGGGCTTAAGAGATGCAGATATTTTATCTAGTGCGAGTCGTTGTGCCTCAGAGAGGTGATTTTGACTCTCCATCCTCACAGAGGGTCAGTCTCCAACACTCAGGTCTAGAAATGACTACAAGTGCAACCAAGTGTAGCGGAGCTACACAGCTCTTTAGTCAGAGAAAGACTTCTTAGGCTGAAAGCCTCTTAGATCTATAGACTTTATTAAACGACTAAGTAGTCACCATGCTCTAAGGAACTAATAAAACGACTAAGTAGTCACCATGTTCTAAGGAACTAATTGCACACGACTACGAAGTCTACCCTATCTACAGAACTTGGAGGGACTTTTAGTCTACAAGCAATAGCTTAAGGTTAGAGAACCAATGCACAAGAGAACAAGTCTTGGAGAGACTTGTGATCTTCAATTCTAAAGGAGAACTGATTTTATTTATGCATTAAGATTCTATGAACAATCCTACTCGAGATACCCTACACTAGACTAATCACTATTATAATAATCAAAATATGTCATCGTTCGTATCTAGATATGGAATCCTCCAAACCTCAGTGTATGTTGTACTTAGTACTACTGTATCAGTTATGGAGCTAATATCGATAGTATAAGGTATTACTGATACCTTATATGACCCATATATAATTCCCCTTCTAAAAAGGATCGGTATTTAGAATACGGTATATGCAATATAGAAACTTCAACCGTAATGTACTTTCGGTATAATGTTACAACTGTCGTGTAACCCAGTTACATGTGCGCCGTAGCTCCAATCAAAATGAACCAAACCGCTGCGAAGGCATTGTGATGCAAGTCACAGGATAAACAGAAATGAAAGACAGGTAAGGCTTGCACAAAAGTATATGACCCATCACTGGCCTGGCCAAACCAACAACTTTCTACAAAACGCAAGGCATCCTTGTGAACATACACAGATACCCCAGCTGTGTGACCAACGATGAGCTCAAAGCTCTAAGGTGGAAGTGTACGAAGGATGCGAATCGCAACGGAGACAGATTCGTCGACAGTTTGATTGCAATTCGTTTTCAAACTTAATCCTCTTTTGAATGGACAAGACCCCAACGGGGTTCAGCAGAACAAAGCCGCTTACGTAAAGTAAATCCAATTCATCAATTGAGATGCCAAGTGTTACCACATACACCAGTGATACCTCGCGAGCGACTTCGGTAACTTTTACTTGCAATCCATGCACCACGAAGATTGCGGCGTGCCGCTTTCTTTCCGGCTGATATATATGAACAGCAGCCAATTAATGCACTGCAAGTTACTACGACGGTCGCAGTCTGCATGCGGATATCGTGCTCAAACAAAACGTGTCCTTTCGTTTCAAATTGCCTCAGCCTGAAGCAGACTCTGATACCGTGAAGGTCCTGAGTCAAGCGGGACTTGAGCAACTGTATGTTGGACACCTACCACAAGCATTTGGAGCTAGTAATGAAAGCAGCAAGTGCCGATATTGCATAAATTCGTCCTGTGTCCTAAGTTAAGCCGACGCGTTTCTTATCTTACGTTCTTTTATTTCAAACCTGTCAGACTTTATGTACCCATTGTGTGTATCACCATATCGATTGATTGGCAGGCAATCATGGTGCTCTTCGTCGTTGGTCTGGGTCTCGGTGACGAGCAGGACGTGACACTCCGTGGTTTGAATGCTATTAAAAAGTCCAAGAAGGTTTTTCTAGAGAATTATACGTCAGTACTGGGTGTAGAACTCGACAAGTTGGTACATACTACTTAAAGGGCCTGTAAATCCGCATCTTAACTCCTAATTTCACCTTAATTTCTTGCTTGTAGGCAGAATTTTACGGCCGAGAGGTGATTCTTACAGATCGAGACCTCGTGGAGACTGGCGCTGACCAGATCTTTGCCGATGCAAAGGATAACGATGTCGCGTTTCTCGTGGTGGGTGACCCGCTGTGCGCCACGACTCACTCGGATCTGATTCTGCGTGCCGTGGAGCTGGACATCAAAGTAGAGATCATTCACAACGCTTCCGTCATGGGTGCCGCTGGCGCTTGTGGTCTGCAGCTCTACTCATTTGGACAGACCGTGTCCATCCCGTTCTTCCGTGATGAGTGGCGTCCCGACAGCTTTTACGACAAGATTCACTACAATCGTCGTGGTGGTATGCACACGCTCTGTCTGCTGGACATCAAGGTGAAGGAGCCAGACTTTGAGGCCATGTGCCACGGTCGCACTGTGTTCCTACCACCTCGCTTCATGACAGTGAATCAGGCGCTCGAGCAGCTCATTGAGATTGAGGAGAAACGTCAGGACGGAGCGTACACCAAGGACACGATGTGTGTGGGTATGGCTCGCCTTGGCCAGAAGGACCAGATGATTATCGCTGGTACGATGGAGGAGCTACTGTCTGTCGACTTTGGCGCCCCACTGCACTGCCTTGCGATTACTGGAGAAGTGCACCCGCTTGAGGAAGAGGTGAGTGAAGGTGTTATATGGACGCATGGCTTGGTCTGATCTTTTGTTACGTTGCTGTACTGCAGATGCTCAAGCAGTTTTACATAAAGAAATAGAGAGAGATGTTGGTGACAAGCACACTTAATTTTGTATATCTCCTCCTCTATTCCATGCAGTAGATACATGCAAGTAATCATATTATCATCTATCATCGGAACTCCATCCAGAACGGAACCAAGATGGAAACAAAGTGCAATCGAGCTGTGGACGAATCTGTCTCCGTTGCGATCCGCATCCTTCTTTTCACGTTCACCTTAGAGCTTTGAGCTCATCGTCGGTCACACAGCTGGGGTGTCCGTGTATCTTCACAAGAATGCCTTGCGTTTTGTAGAAAGTTGTTGGTTCGGCCAGGCCAGTGATGGGTCATATACTTTTGTGCAAGCCTTACTTGTCTTTCATTTCTGTACCTTTGATTTATCCTGTGACTTGCATCACAATGCCTTCGCAGCGGTTTGGTTCATTTTGATTGAAGCTACGGCGCACATGTAACTGGGTTTCATTAGAGTTACTCAAGATTTAACTGTACGAGCCTGTCCAGCCGATGCGGGAAACTCGGTCTCGCAGCACAAAAGTATTATGTTTCAGGTCTGCCTCTATATTCCCATGATAGAGCTAGCGGAGAGATTCAGTTACTACGGCTTGAACTCGCTAAAGAACTTCATGCGGGACATCCCATGAAGTCTTGCGCCTATTAGGTCACAATATCATCGATCTGGTACTTGACGTCGTTCTTTGGTGCCTACCTAGCTCACCACAATGAATCGCTTCCGTACGGTCTTGATCTTTAGTACTATATCGACAACTTCCCATCGCGTCGTTGTCTCCTCCGACGATCATGACAAACTTTGTGCGCTGTAAATATGATTTTCATCATCAGTGTCGATATTGATGATTTCCAGTTCAATGATAGCATTGCATCGGGTGCTGGTCAATTTGACCGCATGCCCCAATTGAAGAAAAAAGCGTCTTTACGTTTTTACCAACGTGGTTGCTGCTTTTGCCTATACTACCAGTATTGATGGTTGGCTCAGAGCGGTGTACATGATATGAGTCATTGTTTTACTTCAACTTTAAGGAAGGCGGGATCGACAATAATGGTATCTGTGGCTGCATAGATAATTGCTGCCAGGGCTGCAGCAATAGCACCTCCGATGCTGAGCTTTATACGAGTGGAGTGGTGTGTGTTGTATCACGATAGTTGGCGAGGGGAAGTCACAACCCGTGAGGTGAGATTGACCTAGTGCTTTTGGTTGAGCTGCACCTTGCGAACCGTCTGTAAGGCTTTATTCGAAATAGGAATCGAGATGGTTCTAACGCACCCATAGTAACCGAATTGAACTTGATTATTCAAATTCCAAAACAAGTGACATACAACCCAGTACGAAAAATGTATTTATTCATTTACGATCCACATGGTATTCATCAGCTACAAAGAGCAAAATCAAAAAATTCCGTGAGCGTTGGATGGGCTAAAGAAATAACGTTCTGCACCAGTATCGTCAGTAAGCGTGATTTGATTCTAAAGATTGCTAGCACGGATAAAATCGCACACATTATCGAAAAAGAAAATGTCGCTGCCGCACACATTATCCAAAACGACGCAACCTTGATAGGATCCATACGCAGCATACGCTCTAGGCAGCGGCCGGATTGAGCACCTGCGGTGAGCAATCTGAACTAGGATCTGTATAGCAATTACATGAATTTAACATGTCATCGTCGTTCAAAGGCGGCGGACCTGATGCAGGGTTGGTAGGATAATCATTATCAGCCTGTACCGGTAACATGGGAGAAGCCAATACATCTTTTTCGGGTTAAGGGGATGGATTCAAGGGAACATTATAGGTGGGTGAGGTTGGCATCGTGGTTTGCGAACATGATTCAGGGTCGAAAAGACACTTCCTGCAATAGTCACTGATAGGTCTCGGTAACATAGGAGAAGCGAATGCATTGGGTAGGGGTTCGGGGTTCTGGGGAACAATAAAGGTGGTTGTGGTTGGCGTGGTGGTTGGCGTGGTAATTGGCGTGGTGGTTGGCGTGGTAATTGGCAAGGTAGTTGGCGTGGTGGTTGGCGAAAAAGGCTTAGGCAGACCATAATCGTCAATCGGTCCGTGGTTGGTTTCAGTCAAATCAATAGGATTAACGTTGATGAAGTTATTAAATTCGGGAGACTGATTCTGAGGGTCGACAAAGTCAGAATTTTCGAGCATGCCAGGGGCAGGTGCGGAGTTTTGGTCCATGGGGGACATCTCTAGCTTCCGAAGGTGAGCGTTGGAAACAGGGCCAGCTGGGACAGAGACTGCGGAGCAACCGCAGACGGCGACGGCGGCAAGGATAATACCAATAGAAAGCTTCATCGACTATTGGGAATTGAGTGGCAGGGGAAGTGTCGTACTTGAAGCAAATGTGAGAATGAGGTGTGTGGGATTACAAGACATATCGAGGTTTTGACAACCACATCGCGCACGCCACTCATGTGTTCTCATTGGGACAGTCTCGTCATTTATGACACGATTTAAGCCAATAAAATAGGTGCTAAATGATTAAATTTAGTGAAAAAAGAGCTGGATGAAGGTGTCACAGATGCGTCCTATCTTTTTATACGTAAACATGTCGCAATTACGACTCGCACGAGATCAGTGTGTCGTTGAATAACGAGGGAACATTTCTCGTAACCCTTTTCGTTCACAGAATGGGCTTTGACCGTCAAACATCTGTAAAAGTGAGTTTTGTCTGACGAAACTGTTACTTTTTCGTGTGTGTGCTTGCTCGATAATGCGTGCATGTTAGCCGTACTGCCAAGTCAATTCACCGTATTTGATGCAGTACATGCTCAGTATGGAATACTAGTGTAAATATACACGGTATAAGTATAGAGCCTATTAAGCTTCCGGTGATGAGTGGTAGGCAGCAGGTTGTCATGGGACATGTGTCTCGCAGACGATAATTTTTACAATGCTTGGCTGCCACCCAAAGGTATTGCTTGACAAGAGACGTCGCAAAAATTGTCCCGGCGGACACACCGTCACATCTGATCAACACTTTTATAACAATCGTACAAAGTTTGTCGCGGGGCACGAACCCTTGATCATCCGGATGGGCGCTGAAAAAGTCAAAGGTTTGATGATGGTCTATAAAAATCTTGTGTCTGGGAGGAAATTTCTAATCTTCTGCCATGACTACGTCGTTCTGCTTTGCACTAGCTCACTCTGCTGACTCAACCTGACGGGCTTCACGAGGGGACACTTTGACATAAACAGTACGAGGGAATGTTTGGCCAAACCCGAGGACATCAGAAGGTAGTGGCGCCTTGAAGGTGAGATAGGGTGTTAATTAGGCTGTCCCAGACGGATTTGCCTGACTTATCGCTCCGGTTCTGAATCGGAACGGACGGAATCACGTTCTAAGGAAGTTCGGTATGAGAGACCGAAATTTGCGGTTGGCTAACGGGCCAGCGACTAGGAGGCGAAATGGAGAAGGGCAGGAATTTGTTGATGCTTGGGTAAAGGACTCTGTCGACGTGCCCCACACCTCGGGACTTTGTGCCTATTGCTACCTGTCAGGTTCGTACGCTACGCTGCCTCTCGTGGCGGACGCAGCGGAGAGAAGTCCTTCCCCCTTCAACCTTGGCCCCGTACTTTTCGCCCAAGATAAGAGCATCGATATGCGGGCCTCTTGGAGGCCTTTGTTGCTTGGCCGTTGTGGCTCTTAAGTCTAAACTGGGAAGTCTAAGTTTTGAACTATCGTACAAGGCGCTCTTTACCCTCTGCATCTTCCAACAGTGGCGAGCTCTCCGTCAAGAGGATATCAGCATCAACGGATAATAACGGGAGAGCACAAGATGAAGCGGCAGCCAAGGTGTCAGTGACGAAAGGCCAGGAGAGAGAGCAAGGAACACGAACCTAGTGCTCAGCCACAGCTAGACGTGCATGCTCCACAGAAGCCCAAACGTTCGAAATCAAGCAAACGGGCACACCAAACAACGGACAAACCGAAAGGCACAATGGTCAAATCAGAAACACACTGCAATAAGAAAGGCAATGGGGAAGGAAGGGCAGCGCAACTCGCCCAGAGATTCTTATGCTTACGATGGGTCGTGGCCGAACATGTGCCAATCCTGGAGCGGGACGTGGGAAACGGTTTCCGGGGTACAGTTCAGACGCCCGAAAGCAGCAATGGGCATTGGCATCGAGCGGTGCTAGCAGAACCGGTCAAGTTGATGCAGCTACTTTAACAATGTTCCTAGTTCAATGCCCTACGCGACGAGGTATTAGAATTTTCGCGGTCAAGCTCATATGCGCGGCTATTATTTCAGCCATATAGTTTCCGCCCGCTTCAGTTTGCACCCGTAGCTTCGGATGTTGTCGTTGACATACCCGTCCGGCTGCATTGTGTAGATATCTTCGTCGATAACTCCGTATAGGAATGCTGTCTTGACATCCATCTGATGCAGTGTAACGGTGCTTGGCATCAATTTCAAATAATTTCATATTGAGCAGTGCTCGGATCGAAGTGAACTTTGCAGCCGTACATCTATGTCCCTTGGCCATCATTCACAACTGCCAAATTTGGGTTTTCGCTCCGCGTACTTTCTTCTTCTATCTAATCTTTATCCAGTTGCGACATATCAAAAATTCGTGCTTCTTCATCTTGGACGACCGTCCTTCTGTAAGATTAGTTGTACTTTTCACTATTGAAGATATTTTCCATAAACTGCGCGTCGTGGCTCACTAGCACACGCCCGCTTTCCATCTCAATTATATAAATTGCTGTGAGATGATCGAAGCACAACCGACCGAGCGTCTCACTTGATGACTTCTCATTTGGTATGTGAACGTACGCGTGACAACCAAACATACGGTATACCCGTTTTTGTCAAGAACACGTACGGTGTTGGCATTGACATGGCTTCGGTAAAACAGTGGGATCTGTGCAACGGATGCTCTCTCGGCAAGTAAAAAAAGAGAGCTGCATGAATCATCGTCCAACCGTATTGGATGCTGTTTACAGCGATGTATGATACCCGATGTGTCCAAGTCGAAGATTTCAAAGTTTCGACGTCACCGTCGCCATCATTCGAGCTTGCCACATTACTCTTGTCATACATGAATGGTGTCACGCAGAGTTTTGGATAACCCCTTTGCCTTCACAAGCGCCTAGAAAAATTGTTTTCGCAAAACATCCTTCTCATTAAAAGGCACGGCCCCAACGTCCTTGGTAAAACGACCAAACAAAAACAAGTTTCCCGACAACTTCAAGCGAGCACGCCCCTCTTGTAACCACGTGGAGCTTGCATGACGTCTCGATATCATTAGTCTTGATTCCTATGTCATCAGCAAGTTGCACGTCCACCGATGAGTATATCTTGTAAACTTCTTGGAACATGTCATGTGGTCGACCAGGCTATATCCAACCAAAAAATTGAATTGACCGGAGTTGTCTTTGCTCTGCAGAATATTCGCTGCGCCCTGAGCCGCTCCCTTCTCGCGAAACCTTGCTGGACACTTGGCGACTCAGTGCTTTTGTCCATCCAATAGTGCCAGGCACCAGCTTCTGCACCTGTCGTGCCTTGCGCTTCCCGTGGTCGCTTCCCATTAGAGCTTCCACTAACAAATTTTCTGATGGCGTGTCAGATGGTGGGTGATGAATTCTACGGAGAAGATGCTGGGAGGTGCAGTGCCGACTACCGCTTTGCATTTGGTGCAGTATCATAATACATGTTCGACAAAAGCCATTTACATCAGGCCCATGTTTAACTGCATTGCAGAATCCAGGCGTTGCAAAACTTAAAAGTTTTGGGCGTAGATAATGTCGATTCTGCCGCAGAACTCGGTGACGATGCAGCAGATAAAACCAAAGACACAACGATTCGAATGCGTGTCACATATGAAACTGTCGTAATGACGTCTTTAAGATTAGGTTTCGACCTAATTTCTCGAGCACCTATTGCATCATTCCTCGGACTGTTACTTTTGTTGATGTAGCTCCATTTTCCATTCAAGACGGGTCAAGTTTATTGTCATTTTCTGTGAAGTAACATTGGGAAGTAAAGAGGTTTGTATACAAGTAGTTGACGTCATCATCTTGCATATTTGTATACAGTCTCACATAGACAACTTTAAAAATCATTATTAACCAATCGCAATTCTCCACCGGCATCAGTCGATTGTTGGTGGCAGACGTGGATTCCATTGCAAAGTCTTGCATATTGTCTGTGCTGTACGTCGCTCTTTTTGTATCTACAAGAGTCGATCGCTTCTCGTATCTACTATACACTCTTTCACTGTTCTTTGCTACGTCTGGTCGTGTTTGTTGCGTTGTGTAAAGCTCTCTAGACGCTGTACAAAGTCTCAAAACTTGATCGAAACAGAGCGACGACACTTACGTCAACAATGGCGGGCGAGCAGCAGCAGCAGACGCCAGTGGATAATATCATTGAAAAGAGTGATGTCTCTTTTGTATCTTCGAGTAATAATGGCAGCAGCGCTGGTCAAGCACTCGACCAATTGGCATTTGACGACAATTTTGTGGCAGCTTTAACAACGGCCTCTAGCGGGACGGAAACAACGACGTCAATAACAAGCAGCAAGTCAGCAGCAGATTTTTTTCTCGATCAAATTGCTGCTGTCGTTTCGGATGAGAAAAAGCTTTCAGATGTGCGTTGAATGCAAATGAAAATGACATTAATTGATGATAAACAAAGCTTGTAGCAAAACAAAAAAACTCATTTGTCATGCTTTTTTGCAGAATATTATGGACTTGATTCCACCAGTAGAAGCATTTGTAAGTCAAGGAGATGCAGTGACGCAGGGGTCAAGTGCACGAGGGACGTCGTCCATTGGTATACCGTTGCAGCCACCCCCTGGATTAATGATGCGTGCCTTGTCGCCACCAACGTCGCTTTTGCCGGATTTTGGAGATGTGGCTTCGTTGTCGCTTCTTGGAGATGCGATGGTGTCTGGGACAATGACAGCTAGTTCAGAGGCCATTGCGAGACCGACGACGACGACGGCGACTACAGCGGTGAAACGGGAGCTTCAGGGTGTGAAGCCTGGAGGTATAGGTACAACAGCAGTGATGAGAAGAAAAGCAGAGATGGCAACAGCAGCGGGTGCAGTGTACAAGAAGCAGAAATTGGATAATGCCAATCCGGAGCTTGTCGTAAAAGAAGCTGCAGCGTCAGTACCTGTTTCGGGTCATTCGCAAACTCAGCAACAGCAAGCCAGACATCATCTTCAGAATAACAATAACACGTTAAGCTCGACCGCGGCGGCGGCCGCTGCAGCCGCAGCAGCACGTGAGAAAGTTATGAAAGAGCCACAGTCTGGCGATCTGTACGAGTGTGTGATCACGAAGCGGAATGGCGGATTAGGACTTACACTTGCATGCGTGGATGACCACGTACAGATTACAGGACTTGCGCCGGATACACCTGCTGCCAACAGCGGCATCTGTGTTGGCGACACTCTTGTGGCTGTGTCAGGGCTGCCCGTGCGTGGACTGCAATTTTCGACGGTTATTGGCCGGCTTAAATCGACGTCGCGCAACTCGGTTGTACTTAAACTTCGCCGCAACCCTTGTACGTTTTAGCTCGATAACTTTGTGGTTAATGGTGTCTGACGTTGTTTGTTTGGACCCTGCACGTTTTAAAGTTCGACAAACTGCTGGAAGTTTAGCATCATACCGCGGAATGAAACGACCTGGTCGAAGTGTTACTAAGGGGTCTGATAGCAGCAACAGTGCTAACGTGTTATCAAGTAAGACCATGGCACTAGAGACGCGGATGGCCGGAGGTCTAGGAAATGGTCAGAATGGTTCTGCTGGGGATTTGGGCGGCGTATCGAACAACACAGGTACAACCGTTGGCTTAGATGACCTGAACCGCTCAAACCATCAAGGAGTTACTGGTTTCACGAACCCTGCCACAGGTCCTCACGATGCCCAACAGTTGCAAGTGCAGCTGAAATTGGAGCCCATGAACTCGACATATTTTCCTACAGATGCGTCCATTCTCACGATGGGAGCAACAGCTCTTGGATCCAGTAGCTCTAATGCTGTTCCGCCCAGCACTTTCGCGCCATCCTCCTCGGTTCCCAGTGGCTCACAGGCTGAATGGCGAGTCAGTAGTGAGGAGAAGGACCGTTATTATGCCGAGTGCCGTGCTCTTCGACATGAGTTGGGAAGAATCATGGTAGCGCAGCGGATAAAAAAGCGAGATACGGCGACTTACACTTCTCAATTACAAGCAGTCGTGGACAAATTTCAGGAGCAAGTTCGATCGTTGGATTCTGCATCATCCGCTACAGCACACGCAAGCGCAATGGAAGCATTGCATGTAGCATCCACTACTACCGATAGCGACGAAGTTGCAGCACTACGTCAGAAGCTGGTGGAAGCAAATCAGACGCTAGCAAAACAACAGACAGAAATACTGGCGCTTCAAGAGCGTGAAGCTCGGCATGCACTGCCGGAAGCCCAGAGGGTAAAGTGGCAACTTGTGTCGAACATGCGCCAAAGCTTGCTTCAGATTGACTGCAAAGCGGCTTCCAAGTGGTCATCTACGCCGTCTGTGAAGAAGATCGGTGTGTCCTCCGGCCCGACCTCGAACTTCGAGAAGCGACTTGATGGCGTTCGCCCGTGCTCTTTTGCACTTTTGGTTGGGCAGACCAGCGTAAAAATTGAATCACCCACAGTTGAGCTTGACCTTCGTGCGGAGGCTTGTATGGAGGTAAGTCATTGCCATGTTTAGCTGGTTGAGCTATTGGACAATGGACTAACGATGTAATGACATCTTTTTGTCGTAGTTACTAGGTTGGAATCTCCGCGAAGTAGTAGTCCAAGCAGCAAAAACGTACACTGTAAGCGTGGCTGATAGTGTTCATATGAAGTACATGCGAACTGAAGAAGTGCTGGTCGTTTCGTGGACGCTGTGTGTGAAAGACAACAACTAGATGTGATGCTTTTTGGAGTGGCTACGTACGTTGCACAAATGCACATAGGATTGTAGAGGGCGCGGTCCAAGGCAGTAGACGAATGCAAAAAGTTAGGAATCAAGTAACAATAACTTTAGCGCGAGCGCAAAGCATGATGTTCAGGCTTTTTCAATTTGCATAGTTGATGGTCAAAGAGACAAGTATGTTAAAAGCCGTCATGTTGCTGTGTCGTTGGCATTGGTACAGGTGAAATCGAGTGAGAGGGTGCTTGCAAAAAAGGCACCTCCAGAACGTGCTCGTTCACGATCGACATGATCCGGTCAACAGCTTCGTCATCAGCCTCGGCATCTTGCTCATTTGGGCTATCATTCCCCTCAGCTTTGCTCTTATGTTGTATAGCGCCATCCATAAGCAGCAAGTATGCTCGCACAAACTGTTGGCGAATGTATTTGTCACGTGAGCCCTTGAGTACGTGCGCCACATCGTAGCTCACCTCAAACGGATCTTCGATGCTCAACCGCGTCGTAAAGCGCCACTGGGAAGTGTGCCGCTTTTCGTCCTTGGTAACATTACCAGCATCTGGACGACGAACACTCACAACATCGCGCGTGGCATCAAATTGCAAACCGAAGTAGCAAAGAAAACCTAGCAATAGTTCACCGACGGTTTGCCTGTTGCGCGCACAGTAATTGCGCAAAGAAGCTAACTTTTCATTCGGTTCACGGAATGCGAACGGGTCGTAGAAGTATGTCTCGATGCCGCTGGTGTCATTGCTTGTTGATGGATCCAATTCGTCGCTTGGGCCACGACATACCACACTTGGCAGTTCCTCGCGAGGTTCATTCGGCCAATTCGGGGGCAAGGCCTGAAGCACAGGCAACACAGGAGGATTTTGTCGCTGGAGAAAGTGAATGAGTAAGAGCAAATAGCCGTACGATGAGAGCGTGCCCTCAGCGGCACAATTCATGCGCCTTTGTTTTACAAAGCGCTTAATCACATAAGCCAGCATGCGCACGCGTGGATCAGCGCTAGCATAAGCACGAAGCAAGGAAGTGTTGCGCTGTGCCAGTCGATTCTCGACGCACAAGTCACACTCTATGCCAGATGTGCGTGACACGAACATAACGATTGGAATGCGCGCCGTAAGGCGCGTAGTATCCACAGATATGAACAAGTCTGGACGTGACTCAAGGCGTGCAACAACTTCCAGCAGCATACGTTGCTTCTCCTCCACAGTTGGGGTCTTCGCTTCGGGCAATACGAGGCACATATCCATGTCACTGTGCTCGTTGCCAAATTCATTAGCCGACGATCCAAACACGTCCAATTCACACGTGAAAGATAGCTTGGAAATAACTTCAGCATGCACTTGGTCGTAAATTGATTGACGCGACAAACGAAATGCAGTGCGGTTTGGCATGAGAACGGCCGCCTCCCGTTCTACCCACCGAGTCACCACCCTTGTCACGAACGGAGCGGTGTGTAGCATCTTACCCTCATTGTCGCCATCTGAACCTAATAACGTACTCTCAATCGGCACAAAACCATAGTTCTTCCGCCAAAAGACGCAACGGTCGCCATCGTTAGCAAAGTAGAGCCCACTCACTTGGCAAAAGCGTTCACGCTGAACGCGAGCAATGTCAGCAAGCTGGTTATCTGTCACGAGCTCTCTTACGTACCTATTGGCCTCAACAGCATTTAAGACGTTGCGCAGCATGCCGTGGAAAGTCTCCATTGGATGCGGAATTGTCTCGGTTGCCCTGAAAGAACGTGCAATATCGTCAGCACTACGCTTGAGTAAGCGCAGACAGGCCTCCAGCAGGTCTCCCAAAAGAACATGACCGTGAAGAAAAACAGTTTCTACTTGGTCCACAAGTCGCATAAACGCAAGGAGTGCACTTAACACTAACCCGGCATCACCATCGACCACACCTTGCTGAATCTTGTCATGCGTCGCACGCAACGCGTCGATGAAGTGGCTGTACTCCAAGCAAACCTTTAACCGATTACTACGCGCGATTGTCACGTTTGAGTACGATGCCTTGCTATGGTGATGGCTCTCGGATTGATCGTCGCTCGTGTGACTTTGGCGTTTACCATTAGGCTGATGGCTGTAGCCGCCCTTGTCTTCAAACGCACGAAACTCATATTCACCAGGAGAGCGTGGGGCGCGGAATGTGATACGCGTATTTAGGTAGCGAAAATTACGGTGTAACTTGTTTTCAAACAGAACTTGTTTTACAAAGATTGGCTTGTCATTCGTTGGCTGTCCGAGGCGAAAAAGTCCCACAAGGAGCACTCGCCCAACAATGCATTCTTCCGCCAAGAGAGATACTTGTACTTTAATGTTGTCATTAGGCTTTGTCACCTCTGGTGACACATTAATTGAATTGCCCTGGCCTTCCGTTACTGAGCTTGTTGCCGTGTTTTCATGGTAAAGCTGCAATGGCTTTGCTGGAGAGCGGCGCGTACGCGATGGAGTCAAACTCCTCATGTGATGTCCTCGTGAAGGCGACATTTTAGGTGCGAGGCCTCCATGACCCGAATTATCACTCAGACTGGACATAGGGTAACCTGAAATTCTACCTGACGCTGGTGACGGAATGTTGCCACCAGAAATGTTCAGATTCGGATAAGGGTATAACTCTCGCCCTTCAAAGCCAGACTTACTACCACTGTTGTCATAGTTTTGCACACTCAAAAAGTCATGGCCTGGTTGTGCTAACGATTGCCGCTGATGCTGCGGAGATTGGAACATTAACCGATCATTGCCCGACGGCATTGCGTGTTGATACAATGCAGCCATTTGTGCATTCATCTGATCACGCAGCAATGTCGACGAAGGCATCGCTGGTGAAGGATTTGTAGACATCTCGTCCCATCCACCTCTTTTTTCAAATACTCTACGTTCGACGTTGTTGTCTAGTGTCTTGCCACCCAAATTCATATTAAGCACCGCATCAGAGAGGTCAAACCCACGTCCATCTGCATCTGACGACCCCATATTTTGTGTCTTCAATAATCTTGTATGTTCACCACTGAAAGGGAATGAAGATGGTAGTCCAAACTCTTCTTTAATCTGTCCTCTTCGCTTTGTACCTCCTAAAAAAGCCAAAGATTGTAATCCAGAGCTTGAATCAGAATCCATTATAAATTCCTGTTGCTGGTGAAGCTGGTGTTGATGTTGTAAATGGTATAAAGTTCCCACGTTGTTTGTTGGCTGCTGAAGACGAGGAGAAGATGGCGGTAACGGTGGCGCCACAGATAAAGACGGTGGCTGATGCTGATGAAGGTTCGAACCCATGCTGAGGCCCAAAGAGCCGTCCAAAGACGACGAATGGGACGTCATATGTCCCAGTCCTAGTCCTTTTAGCTCTAAACTGTCGTTCAATTGTCCACTACCGCTAGGGAAAGCACTGGGGTCGAAGGCGCCTAGATCCTGGAAGGTTGCTGCGTCCGGCTCAAAACGCCCGGCGTTACTATTACACGAGCGTGGTGATTGTGGCCATCGGGCCATTGGGACACTATAAATGGGACAGAGGGATGATAAATGCTAAAACCGATATAGCAAAGCGAATATGACGCCGATTAAGAGCAACATTCGAGGGGTAATAGTAGAGAAGACATTTATACGTATGATAGAACAACGTACAGCGATTAGAGATGCACAGGAGAGCCAAAAGCAACAACGAGAGAAGAGAACGGTGTCTGGCGACGGGCGTCTAAATTGATTTGTTTCAATAAAGATTATAAAAGGAAAGAAAGTGTACCACACCATAGAATGTGCAATCCATAACTGTCTACTTGTGTAACACACATCAATAAATTCAAAGATAAAGACTGTAACTCTATTGCGTTATTATCGCAATACAATTTACATAATAGTCGACATGACGGCCGTTAGTAGTGATATAATAGGTTAAAGTCATTTAAAAATTTAGGAAAGAGCAGACAAAATGAAGAAAATAATGCAGTGATTTATATTTTCCATGACAGTGTGCTGCTTGTGCCAAGAAAAAGTGTCAAGACGCTTCATGTTTCTTTAGTCTCTGCTTAATCAAGTCGTATCGTAGCAATTGTTAAACAAGAGAAAGCAAATGGACAAAACGTTCCTCTTCTTACAGAAGATTAGCCATTGCTACAACGATAGCAGTAGTAGCAAACGCCGACAGCTGCGGAGTCAAAGCCGCGCTCGTGTCATCGCTGGCAGTATCGTCGTCGTTGGTCGTCCCAGGAGTTGCCGTAGTAGACGTTGACGCGCCACTGCTAGGCGTAGTACCAGACGTCGATGACCCGGCGCAAGTGCTTGACACGCACGTCGCCTCGCGGGCTGGTACCTTAGCCTCATCGCACGTGAGCAATCCAGTCGACCCTTGCTTGTTGGTTGCGTTGGGCATAGAGATGCTGTTGGCGGCTTTACCTTCGTAAGTGGTGGCCGTGACCTCCTTCGCGCTGGTGCAAATCGTGCCGGTGTCCTGTGCGTCCAACTCGAGCTTTGCCGCCTTGATAGATGACGCCAGTAGCGCAATACGTGCTGATCCCTTCGACTCGACTTGAGCTTCATCCGTGACGGACACGCTCTTGACGTTAAACTGAAGACTCGCAGTATCCGCCGTATCAAGCTGCAATTGGTTCACGCTCACATCCGTCCCAACTGCCGATACATACACGGCACTTGATCCACTAGCCTCAATCTGCAGCTCCGCTGTCTTGCTGCTCGTCATCAGGACGCCTTCTTCAATAACGACCTGAGCTGATTGTTTGCTCTTTACATCCGTCACGACGTCAGTCGAAGCCAAAATAATCTCAGTCAGTAAGTACCCACTGAGCGTAGTAGAAATACTACTTCCAATGCCCACATGTAGCTCGCCAGTGTTATCTTTAGTATCACTGTCATCGTCTTTGTCGTCAGTGTCATTAGCGTCGTCATTACTCACGAGAACAGCATCGACGACGGATTGCGAGTCACCCGAAACGTTTACGTAACCAAGTACACCACTCGGCAGCCCACTCTTATAGCTCACAAAGACTTGACCAACGAGATCCAAGTCAATGGAATCAATACTTTTGACCGTCGTAGCAGCAGTCAATGTCCATTGTTTTACAAATTTTACATTCTTTATGCTTGAAGTAGTGGCTTCGGTCGGTTTCGATGTGACGGTAAAGTCAGCCGTAGCACGAATTGCAATGGTAGACGCCACGAGAAAAAGAGCTTGGAGGTTCATTTGTTGTAAAGAGAGAAAAAGTATTTGTCCAGTTGGTTGGGAGACCGGCGGTCGTCTTTGTAAAAATATAAAGACTCGAGACGGTTTACTAGAAACTGTCTTTATTATCCAGTACGCGTCTCTTTGTGACAGATAGATAGATGTGTAGAAAAACAAAAGCCACTGGTTCTATGCTGAGTGCAAATAAGAATAACAATCATGCGGTTTCATTATGAATGATGGAAAAAGGTGTTGATAACGTGAATGAATACGCGGCTATGATTAAATGGAGCGATTGACGGACGCTTAAAAGCATTAGGTGATTTCCTCCATATATTTTATTTGTTTGTTAAAGTTGAGGAATTCTTAAACTTTCATACATTTAGCTTGAATTTGAGAATGAATTGATTTGAAGACATATTCATACTGTATGATGCATGATCTTGAGTTAGTAGAAATAGAAGCGCAAAGATTGAACATGAGATAGCCTGTCGTCTTTAACTTGCGCTTGACCTCGGCTTTGAAGATCTCGATGCCCAGTTAGAGCGCAAAGTCACGACGACTTCCATGACAGCCAGAAAGAAAGTATTGATCTGCACTTCCTACAGCCACCAGTTGCTTTCGAATCGGCACCGCCTCTCGCAATGTCACAAAGTTGTAAAAACGGCTTTTTACCCGACAAAGTTAACAACACCTCTTGCACTTTCGGCAACGTATACTTACGTTTAAATAGGGGAGTGCAAATCATCCCCCACTTTTAACTAGCCTTCCCCTATTTTCATTAGAGTACGATTGGTTAGAATGCCTCTCAAAAGTTTTGCTTTATTTATTTTAATTGACAGTATGTATGGAGTCCTATTTTATGTAGGCTACAAGCATTTCTAGCTAGAGTTAGAAGTAAATTCTAAGGCAATAGCCTGTCATTGTCCATTAAACTGACCAAGCATTCTCACTTTATCATAATGTAGGCTATACGTGCCTATGGCAATGCCGGAGCTTGGACTTGGAGACTTGCGGATCGCAAAGATACCGACAAAACAATGTACTTAGGATCGACACTAGGATCCGGCACGTGAGTACATTTCTAAGCTTTGTGATACATGAAAGTTGCCATGTACATGTTAAAAAAAATTTCAATAGTCCTTACCTTTTGACAGTGTACAAGCCTAAAAATGCAGTAGTTGTACCAAAATGAATGATATATATCGCCCTTATAATATTCATGTTGAAGCTGGCCTAATTGTACTAGGCCAGCCTAGCCTAAAAGTAATTGCGAACTTAACAAAATAACAAACGACGCGTTCGTACACAATAGTATTACACCATACTGTACGATAAACTTCTCATCCGTACATTGCTGCAATAGCTTCAATCAGTTTCGAAGCCAATTCATCGTGAGTCGGCAAATTTGAATTCATTCGTGATCGTTGCAGCAGGTACATTTCTTGCTCGTTCAGTCCTTCAAGTGTGGTGTGTTGACGTTGATTAAATGGCACAACGTCGTCGTTGTTGACCTCGCAGATTTCGACCATCGTCTGCGCTACACGCTTCCAAATCTGCTTTAGTCCGCGCAATACACCAGCAACCACATGTGGATTAACAAGAGCATTTCCACGCGTTTCGGACTGTTGATGCCGCACGGGCGATGCAAAGAATACGCGAAGGAGGTTGTCGGATGAGTAATCATCTGCGGGTTCTACAATTGCCAAGACTTCAATCTACACATGCACATTTTAATGTCCAGTCAGAAAATTCAGATACAAAATGACGCAAACACAAACGTACCGAATAGTTGGACCCCTCAGGCAATGCTGGCACAAAAAGCTTCATACCAAATTCAAGGCGTTGGGATTTTATACGACGAGGCTTCATTTCAAGAGCTTTCGCATCCTTGGTCAAGCCAGATGGTGGACGCATTTGATCCCGACCCATCGACATTTGAGATCCGCTGGTATTTTGTACGAAACTTCCTTGTTTGTCACCCTGGTTGCTATCAGTTCCGTGGTCGGAAGTGGACGTTAACGAGTCTTGGGTTCGAGCCTTTACCAGCGCATAGTACTGGTAATCCTCAACATCAGCAACTTGAACTCCAGGAATTCCACTAAGAAGCATTCGAAATACCTGTTTGCGAATGTATCCTTTCGTTCGATTACGAGACTGTCTAGGCGATAATATGGCATGCCATGCGCTAATGTCTACCTCCATATTGCCACCATCAGCTTGAGCAGGACGGAAGAATGAACAAGCGTTTGAGAGTAATGCTTCGAAAAACAGCGATGCTGTAACCTTGCTACCCATGTTTTCTTCCAGCACTTGCACGAATCCTTCCGGTACGCTTTCGAAAAAAGGAGTGGCAGTTGTAGTTATCACATTGTGCGGAGGTACAAAACCAAGTGTCGACAATTGCCCGCCGCTATATGGCCTCCACGGAAGCTGAGTGGGCAAGGTACTGAGATTGTTGGAGAGCAAACTTGTATCAGTAATAGCAGACATGAGTCCTTTCCCGATTTCAAGTGCAAGAGCTCGCGGCAAGAATGCCAGATCCGGCTTTACGCGCAACTTTTTTTGCGGACCTCGACTGGACGATGACTCAAGCGTATCATTCGCTGCCAATGCGGCAGCGATGTCGGTATTCGGAGCGCTAAAGGGGCACTCAGTGTCTACAACAGACCCACGTCGCACAACCGGTGTTGCAAAGTGTTGTCTCGTATCTTTGTCTCTAAGTAGTTTCAATATCGATGCACAACCACAACGAACCCCATCCAAAGCTCCACGTTCGATTTGCGCCTTAAACATTGTGTTCCGCGAGAAGATCACGCCTGCACGCCACCTGATTTTTAAGGCCGAGTTGCATTTGTCGATTCTTTTGTCGAAGAAAGCAGTCGAAGTCGCATCGTTCACCGCATCATCCTGATAGACCGGAACATCCTCGACGTCCACCAGCACCTCAATTGAAAAACAGTTGCTATAGGGAATACTGAGTGTGTAAATTTTAGATCGAAGCACAGCCTTGTCCGGTGTGTGTAACTCATTTATAGCACCGTCATCCAACAAGCCATCATCAACCATGCAAGAGTGATACTGCTCAATAGTTACTGCCTTCATGTTTTTGGATGCCGCACTTTTTGCAGCTCTCGTATCGCTGTCAAGTTGGCTGGATAAAGCACCAGCATCTGAGCGATAGCTGAGTGCGCGTACCAGTCCGAAGTGTGGGTGAGAATGCCAGTCGAGTAGAAGGTCAGCACTACGTCTTTTTTCGCTGCTCGATCTTCTTTTTGATGCAGCGGTTGCAGAGATTCCGGCCGGTGCAGATTGAGCCAGCAGTGACCGACCAACCTTGCACTTAAGTCGTGTAGCGCGAGGAGCTACCATTTCGAGGAATGTATTCACATTTAGACCAGGTATAGTCGTCGTCGTTAACTCTATCATCTCTCCTTCTGGTATTTCCAAGAACGAAGGGATCTGATCAGAATTCGAGTATGTATCGGCGACAGCTTCAAGCCACGGCAGTCGTACATCGCAAAGATTCCACCTCGCAAGCAATGGGGCCTGAAACCTAGTGCCTTTGGCTTGGACGGCACCTTCAATCACAGAAGGTGCTGTCTGAGCTCTAGCAAAAGCACGTGAAGCCGATGAAGATTCCCTTTGCAACTTAGCCTCTGCTGCAGCTGCCATCAATGCCGATAAATCTGAGCTATACACGAACCCGATTGCTTGATCAAATTGCTTCGATAAGAATAGCGAGCGCTGTCGAGATGCTTTCCGATTTCTGCGATCATGTTCCGTTTCCGATTCTTCTTCAGTTTCCTGATTTAGATTATTGTTTCTGTTCGTTGGCACTACTGGATGTGCAAAGCTTCTGGATCCAAATTTGTTGGCTAGCCACATGCCTTTGCCAAACCGTGATGCACCTAAAATGAGATACACTTGAGGACTACATGCTCCATTTCCTTTATCTTGTGGTCGTTGCAGCACTCGAAATGATTCCCACGCATGCAATTTTTTACTAGCAACCACCATTCTCTGAACCAAATTCTGGCCAATATATCTCTGTGTGACTACAGATCGAAATCCCCAGTGATATGTCTTTCCTCGTTCTAAATGAAAGAGACACAACGTATTGGGTTCACTTGTAAGAACTAATTTTCGATGTTGTGTTGCTCGTAAGAAGGAACCCGTGACTAAATCTACAAAATACACGGGTGCAGTTCGATTAAAAGCATGATCTTGTAAAGTTCCATGAACTTGTTCATATAATGAACTACCACTTGTACTGGACGATAGAATTTCTGGTCGATGAGTCTTTTGATCCAATCGACGAGTCTTACGTGATGTCTTGATGGCATGTAAATAACGCCCATTAATTGTCTCAAGAAATTCATTTCGAAGGACGACAAGCGCGTCATCAGAAATGATTTTGTCGGTTGTCGGTTGAGAATCAGAATTTCGAATGATTGATTTCCACGCTTGCGTAAACAACCCCCACCCCCAATTGCTGGTAACAATATCAATGGATACGAACATCGGTAATAATGAAAAAAACGTGAGGGAGAGAAAAGAGAAATTGAATGTCGTGATACTGAGACGCGAAAGTATAAAGAGCAAGAGGCTGCTGGTCATGAGAGACACGAGTAGCATTACCATATTTAACGTCATTTTTCGGATTGTTATTTCGTAAAATTTTGGAAATTTAATGGAAGTGAAAACACAATATTTCGAAAATGTGTCACAATTTTTGCAGTATCTCTGTCGCACTTTGTCACGAATTAGGTAATTATCTGGCTAATGCAATTTTCTTAGCATAAAGTTCAGATTAGAGCTTTATCACCATAATTGTCAAGTGATACATTTTTATATATATTGCGCATCAGATCTACTTCTTTCTTCTTTTGCATTATCAGATTAACAAAAGTATGATGATAACATTGATGAATTTTCGAGCACTTGAGATATAAAAAAGGTAGTCGTACTTCTTGATGTCGTTTGTGTCACGGTGCACGAACATGAATGTTATAGTGGGTGGTGATACCGTAGAATGAGTCAGCGACGACTTGCTAGTCTTACGACGACCATTACGACGCCGTTATCTGAGACTTTAAGCTGGAAGACTAAATAGTTTGCTAAGTAATAATATCAATGAAGTTTAGACAAAGACTGTATAACTTCTTGATTTTGTGCCTTGTAAAGAAACCAACTCAATTAATTTCATTACAGCGTTAGGACGCTTTGCATTGACGACACCGATCAAGTGACGGACAATGTAATTCGCGTTGATAGTCACATTTTTTGTTGTAAACGTGACGCGTATCAATTGGGAGTGCTTGGATTTAGGTGGTTGTGGCAATGTCCATCAAGCAAATGAAAGATTCACCGACATCCGATTGCGGCCGGGTCACCTCGCAAGTCGGACTAGGTCTTCGTCTTGTAGCTCACAATCTGTATCCTCTTACCGCAGAGTCCTGCCTCGCTTTTCTCTGTTTGAGCTCCATCGGACTTACTCGACACTGTGAAACTGCGGCTTGCCTAGTGGTGACCTTAGCGGTTCTCGCTTTCATAGCTTATCCGTTCTTTCGACACTTTTGCTCTTCTCTTCTCGAAACTCAAAACTTCTTGATAAAAGCCGAAGAGTGAAACGGCGTGCAGCCTACAGGAATCGTCTTTCTCGCCTTACTAGCCACTGCTGCTGCACTTTTCATGTCGGGCCAAATACTCTTGCGGAACGACGTTCCGTAAGGTCTCAGTCGGTAACGAAGAGTTGCAATACGGTCCTGTGCTCGTGAAAAAAGACTTACCTAAGGCGACAATGTTCACCTCCCGGTACAGTACAAGAAACCTTACAGTTACTCATCCGTTGAATTTAAATGCCCCTCTTTCGTATGTATCGCTTTCACCGTCGCATGTGTGTCGCTTCAAGTCGTATGCCACGTCACATGTGTGTCGCTTCAACGCCCAACCGTTACAGTACAAGCTGTGCCGAGACAGCCCGCACGTGATTGTACAGATACGATACGATGCCAATTACTGCTGATGTAAAGAGACGTTGGCGTTGCAGCGTTTTGGTTTGCGAAAGGCAGCAGAGAGTTTTAGGAGATCGTTGGTGGATGATGGAGCCTGTTCGTTCCGAACTTTACTTGCGCTATGATCAGAATCGCATTCTGATCGAGTTGGTCGGAAGCTCTCACACTTTATTTTTGCTTGCCGGCATCAAACGACCTCAGTCGTATCAAATTTCACACTCATGATGTCCTTCCGGACGCACCTTTGCGCTGCAGCAATTGCAGTCGCAGCGATGTCGCTGCACCGTGGCCAGGTAGATGCATGCACAGCTATTGCTGTGACGAAAGGCGCAAGTACAGACAATTCGACGCTGATCGCTCATACGGACGACGCTGGTGGCAGCGCCTCGGATCTCCGTCTTGTTCGCGTCCCAGCACAGGATCACGAACCGGGTAGCAAGCGTGCCGTTTACAACATCAACAGTGGTTACCCGAGAGTTGTGGCACCAGATCGAGGAGCTCACTACCAGCCTGTAGACGATTCAGAGACTGGGAGGACCCAAGAGTACTCGACACCAATAGGTTATATCCCGCAGGTGGAGCACACGTATGCTTACTTTGACCAGGATTACGGAATGATGAATGAAGTGCAGCTCAGTATTGGCGAGAGCACCTGTGGGGCCAAAACTGTCGGCTGGTCACTTGACGTGCCTGGGGGCAAGAACTTGTTTGGCATTGCAGAACTCACGAAGGTTGCGCTAGAACGCTGTGTTACTGCTCGTTGTGCAATTGATATCATGGGCACACTGGCTGAGAATTATGGCTTCTACAGCGAAGACAGCGGTGATATGGCGAAACCGGACTATGGCGATTCGGCTGAAGCCCTCGTGGTAGGCGATAAACTTGGTGAGGTCTGGGTTTTTCACGTCATGACGGGGAAGGACCACACCGGTGCGGTGTGGGCAGCGCAGCGCGTGCCAGACGGACATGTAACTGTCATTGCGAATGGCTTTTCGATTCGTGAGATTGACCTGAGCCAGCCCGACTGGTTCATGGCTTCGACTAATGTGGTCTCGCTTGCTAAGGAAATGGGCTGGTGGGACCCGAAAGGGGGCAAACCCTTCGACTTTACAGCTTCGTACGGTTTTGCTGATAAAGACGCCATAGGTCCCTTGTACACTGGGCGCCGTGTCTGGCGTGTGTATAATGTGCTCGCTCCGTCGCTGCAGCTTGATGCTCGTCTTGGGAGCTTTTCACAGTACGCCACCTATCCGTTTTCAGTCAAGCCCGACCGTCAAGTAGAAACTTACCAGATCATGGATTTGCTTCGCGATTACTATGAAGGCACACAATACGACATGACCAAGGGCATGGCAGCTGGACCTTTTGGAGCTCCTGTGCGGTGGTCTGGTAGCCCCGGAGGTGTCACTGGCGGCTGGGAACGCCCGATCTCGATGTATCGCACGCTATTTTCGTTTGTACTTCAGACTCGCAGTCATAAGGGATCGGATGCTGTTGGCGGTGTTGCATGGTACGCTCAGAGCGCCCCGCACGGATCGGTCTTTGTTCCGTTCTCTTGCGCACAGAGCACTGTCCCGGAATCGTACTTGTTAGGTCGACAAAGCAAATTCCACTCGCAGTCTGCCTGGTGGGCATTCAACTTCGTGAACAACTGGAGTCTACTGCGTTTTGACGCTATGAGTGTTGAGATCCGCGGCAATATCCATCGACTACAGAAAGCAGCTTTTGCTCTGCGTCGCAAAATGGAGAAGGAGGTGCATGATGAGAGGTACTCGGCCACCATGAGTGAGACCCAGCTATTGACTCGTTTTCATGATCAAAGCAATGATTTTGCCGACCACGTTGTAGCACAGTGGTGGCAACTTGCATGGACATTGGTGGGCAAATACAGTGATGGCTACATGACGACAGGTGAGGCTCCGGAGCAACAGGCGTCAATTGGATACCCAACTTGGTGGTTGCAGGGCAGCGAATTCGCGACGTGGCCTGGCGATACGTTCATGCCCAAGTTCAGCATGCACCAGCAGCTCGTGAGAGTTGAAGGCGAGACCACACAAGGTTTTGTTCGCCAGGCAGCCAAGCCTGCTCATGTCCAGATGGAAGGACAAAGTTACCCGATCGCCTTTGCCTGGGTCATCATGGGCGCTGTACTGGGCGCTTCCATGCTATCTCTCGCCAAAAAGACGGGTCGCCGTGTGGGCTACCACGCGGTTGCGTAAGAGCTGGATCGTGTATTATGCATAGTGAGCCATAAGAATCTGTTGGCAATGATCACTTTCCATTTCCATTATCGACGAAACTGTCGAATGCTCAGACAGTGTTCGTGCCATGAGTAACGCTTGGCATTTTGCTGGTTCATGGGTCATTGATACCGTCCATTTTTCTTCTTTGCCTCCGTTACCGTCAAATGCATCATTCTTGTCTCATCCTTTCCTGTCTGCCAGACCGTTACGCCTTATGACGACCACCTCACTGCTTGTTGTGACCACTATATATTAAAATTCAGGCATTCCTGTTCCATTTAGTAGGGCGGATCTACCTATACATAAGTAGAACGGTAGGATCGTGAATATTATCGAACGGAATGACGTGACGAAACAGACAGCTCTTCAATAAGCATCAATACGGCCGGCATTCCCGCCACTGAGAACAATTGCAACGAAATGGTCAGCCGCGCATTTGTTTAGTTTCATCTACGAAACCTCAAATTGTCACCTAACAATTGCTCCGTCTACCACATACTCATTTACTATCATTTGCACTAGTCTCGCTTTCTTTTCTTACCCGCACAACGTCAATACCAAGTACAGACAATAAACGCTTCGACAAATGTCCCACTAAACCTTTAAACTTGGAATTTTACTTTACGGTTCATATGTGCCAAATGGCTTAAATGGAGACTTTATCGTTCCCTCTTACACAACAGACGGCACAAACAGCCACACGCGTCTACACCTAAGAAAACAGGAAGCTATACAAAGTGAATTGGGTTGAATCGTAAGCTGCATACACGACTGGGGCAAAACGAAGATACGTGCTACAATCGCAATTGTCATGTCATGGGAGCTTGGGTCTTGGCAGTACGAACGACTCATAATCAATTAGCCCATCACGATCTCTCCGCCACCTATTTGACAATCTTCTATGCTTTCCGTTCTTCCTCACAACGGGCGCAATTACATACGAATTGGTACTCCCTGCTTGGTCGGACATCAAACGCCAATACGCAATAAATGAAGGGACATCAGTAAGTCTATGACAATATCGACAACGAAACGTATACTGGCCGAGATGATTATACATACCGAAGACATTCCTCCCGCCCGTCCACTTCCTGGTCCACATCAATGTATGAGATGCACAGCTCTTCGCCCTCCTGTTTGTTCAACAACCTCTAGTCAGACCATTTGTAAATTAAACCTCAAAAACTTTCGCGCGCTTACCGCAATGTCCTGTACGGCGAACACGTGAGCAGCTCCGTCCTTCGTGTATAGTACTGTGCAGTTGGGATCACAGCTGTGATTCATTGTGCATATACCCGAGAACAATGCAGTGCCTTCCACGCCCACAAAGTCCTCATCCACTGCGTTACACTCTTCCTCATCATATTCGTCGTGTTCTTCGTCGCATTGATGATTGTGCTCTTCCGTAAACTTTTCAAGTGCTAGTTTAACGCGGGCCAGTACTGGCGGCATGTCCTTCTTCTCCTCAGGACTGGCTTCACTCAACGCCTCGCTCAGCGCATGAAATGGATGGTCGATTTCCATACTAATGTTATTCATCTCGAACATGCCCACCACACGACTGAAAAAATCGACGCTCAAGACTTCATTGCACGAAACAAGAAGTGCATCTGCCGTGAGACCATTGAGTTCGTTCTGCGTCTCCAAGTGAGCAAGGTTCTCCGTCAAGCCGCTGATAAAGTAGTCGTATGTCTGCATGAGCAGCGAGCGAAACTTGTCCCGATATTCTTCCAATGTCTCTCCATCTTCTAGATCTTCTTCTGACGTAATGACTTCCCACCACGGCAACTTGCAAAAGATATCAACGGGTTGTCTGGCTTGTGCTATATCCTGCGTTGCAACAAAGAGCAATAAGATCTTTGCCACGACTTTAGCTGCGAGCTGGAAGATCTCATTGGTCACAAGTGTATGGTTAAGGAATTGACCCATTGCATTCTCTCGCTCCTCCGAACGTGGACACAAAAGCGCGTGATGCTGCGCATACGCAATCTGTTTGCAATTGTCAGAGCAATATACAACTCCACAGCTGCATTTCACTTGACTTTCGGCCAGTTTAAACACAGAAAAGTAGCTCTCTTCGGGACTCTTGCCACCTTCTTTTTGCAAAAAGGCGATGGCTGCTTCAAAATCTGCTTCGCTGGCCGCAGCCTCGTCAGCAGGGACTGCCTCGCCCTCAACTTCACTGCTACTGCCGGTCACGACGCGTGCCCAGCAGATTTTACTGTCAATGAGTGGCACGAAGCAATTGTCACAGCAATCCACAAACTCCTTGTTGTCTTCGTGCTGCATAGCCACGAACGGAGCTTCTGTCCAAATGGGTTCACCGGCCTTGAGTGCCTTCCCGGCATACATGGCCTTGCCTTTATCACCTGCAAGACCACAATATATTGGTGGACTGTGTAGACGCGATTGTAGCAGTGCTTTAAAGTAAGCAGCGACTTGTGGCCAATCCTTTTGAATCATAGACGACTTTTCGATCTTTGATGGTGATTTGGTGAATGATTGATTGACTGACTGACTGGGTACAGTTTTGTTATCTATATGATAAAATCGATATATCTGAGACGAACTATAAGAGATCAGTACTGACTGGTTAGCAGTCGAGACGACGACGCAGTGCGCGCACCTTTCCAATCACTTGTCGAAATTGCAGCAAGTTACACTTGGATAATGTAATGGATATAAAAGATGATATATTAAATATAGATATTGAGAGGGAAAGGGGCAACCGAAAGAGCGACATAAATGATACAAAAACTAGGGCCTCCGACTTAATGACCTTGCGCCGTGCATTCACCAGGCGACTTGCCCCCTCTGCCAATATAGATACAGCTAAGAAAGTGGCTGCCATTGGACCATGTACTTTTCTTTACAAGCTATAACGTACGTATCCAAAAACTTTAACGACGTCGACATTGTTTGCCCTGCGACGGCCATTGAAAAAGCATTGCTAACCTGGTACACCACTTTTCTCGCATCCGACAATGTAGGATCACTTCAATATCACTGACGTACTAGGCCAGCACCACTAAGTGTTTATGTAGCGTCGGACATTGTCGGACCATTCACGTCACAGCATGTAGGCTCAGCACGATATGAAGGGCCAGCCAGTACTTGTGACTACTTAATAAATTACGACAACGTAGAATAAGCCGTAGTAGCCGTGTTTTTACAGACATTATAAAACAAATTGCATGTCCAAAACTAAATTTTATGCCAAAAATAAGACGTTTTCGCCAGTCAATTACAAAGTTCTAGATGACAATTTTGTAGGTTTCTTAAATCTAGAATCTCCTGACCTGCTTCTTTTCTGCTCATGTGCGTCCGACTTTTCATTTTCTTCCGAATTCTACTGGCTTCGATACCGTTTCAGCATTCGACGAAGACGTTCGCAGCCATTAAGAGGAACGAAGAATTTCCTCACATTTTGAAAGGATTGGTCGTGTAAAACACTTGATATGGACGTGGAAGTAGGTCTTGATTCCGTTCCTTACAAGAGACTTCAGTCTTTGACACGAAATAATGTCAAGAGCCGCATTGATCGTAAGTAGGCTGAATGTCGTCTCTAGGTCGGCCAATTGTTCAATAATCTTGTTTTTTGTATGCTCTATACATACATGTAGTCAATCGTTACTCAAGTGTCGCTGCACCATATGGTCCAAATGATCCAATAGCGAGTACTTACTTTCAAGTGGTTATTAGCAAAGCAAAGGCACCAATTGTATGTGGTGATGCTGGACCTGTTAAGGGAAAAGCTATTTATGCTGACCAAGAGTTGCCAAAAGCTACAAGAATTTGGACGGAATCACCTCTTGTAGCGATGCAACATGAACAAAATCGTAGTCTACTGCCATGCTGTCAATTTTGTTATTTGCCATTAGTAGGAAATGCTCAAAATCAATGGCATGAGATTGTCACACGCTTTAATGCACAACTTCAAGATCAAGGAGAGACACTTTCGACAACAAGGAATACTACTTTACAAAAGGATATAGTACCGATAAATGCACTGGAAGAAACATTACGACTATTACGTATCACCCCACAAAGTTGTGGAATGGCAGAAGCAGGAGCAAAATGTGCATGTGGTGAACTCTATTGCTCAAAATTATGTCTAATGCGAGCACTTCATGAATTCCATGCCATTTTGTGTCCTCGGAAGGATCCGTGCTCAGCAATGGGTGCATTTCAAGAACATACACGCCATACGAACGATATTTTTTTACTTGCAGCAAAAGTAATTGCCCGTGTACTCTCGCGGTATCTCGTGTGGCGAGACATTGCCAAGGCACGTGAACCCATTGACATGTTTTACAAGAAACCGTGGTGGGAAGTGGTCGTTGTAGAGCACGATGAACCTTTATCACTGCCTCGTGAATTTCGAAATAGCGAGGAAACGTCGGGTCAGATTACGGCATGTGAGAGTGAGAAGACAAACAGTGACAGCGGAGATAGCAGCAGCAGTTACGATGACGGCTCACCTAATGATATCAAAGATATTGATAACGAAGAGAAAGCTGTCTTGCCCAAGGCTAATGGAAGTGTTATCGCTCAAGCAGGCAAGTTACGACAGGAAAAGTCACAAACTAAGGAAAAGGAAGGGGATTGGATGGCAAACACTAGTGGCACCTTGGGAAATGGATCGACGAAGGCGCAATGTTTACAGGAGGTACTAACGATGACACACCAGTTACTAATCGACGCACTAGAGTGCAACCTAGTGCGACTTGAGCGTGAAGGCCAACTACGTGACGTGACGGTGGAGGAAATCTGGCGTCATTGTTCAAGTCTTTTGAGTTTCGAGTTTTTTACTGCTCAGATCGGCCTCTTCGAAATGAACAACGTAAGTATGGAGATCGACCATCCGTTCCATGCCTTTATAGATATCCTGGATCCAGACGTGCAGCACGAAGTGACTGCAGCAGGAACTGATGGCCAAAACAATTGCACGTCACCACAATTAAACAGTGAGGAGCAGGCTCTGATTGCTAGCGTACGACGCGTGCTACAATGGGAGGAAGAGCGCATTCAGCTGCTGCAGGTACAGGAGCGTCTGGAAAGGAACGGCACCGAAGTGGATCCTGGCTTTGATCCCTTGATGCCTTTGGGTTATCCTTGCATTGAAGGCACAGCGCTCTTTCCAATCATTTGCACGATGAATCACAGTTGTGACCCGAACTGCACTGTGCTTTACACGAAGAATGGTGACGCGCATGTGGTGGCTATCCGTGACATTCAAAAAGGTGAGGAGCTCTGTATCTGCTACATCGATGTTGACATGGATGTGCAAACGCGTGAAGCAAATTTACGCGAGTACAAGTTCAAATGTTTTTGCCCGCGGTGCGTCCTGGAGCGACAACAATTAGAGCGACAAAGACCTGGACAGGACCAACGAGCAAGTTTTGCAACAAATGAGCAAACAAGTTTACATGCAGGGAAGCAAGCTCGACGTTCTAGTCCTGAAAACCAAAAACTGAAAAAGAAATCGAAGACGAAACGCGACGCCCAGTCGTGTCTTGCTTAGCTCGGTCGTGACAAAAAGCAAGAACGTCTTTTGCGATGGTGTGACGTATAGATGATGTATTAATTTGCGTTAGTACCTATACTACGTCTTTGACTGATGTTGAATTAAGCTAAAAGGTCAACTCAAAGCTGGTAAGTTGCAGCCACGCCCGAGATACCGTTAAATACGTACGTATTGTTAAGCGGCTCGAACTGGTGCGTGATCAACTTCACAGCTTCCTGCGCAGCAACACCGCCCATCACAGCGGCAATGTTATGCAGCTCGACCTGGCATGACCGGGTCATCTCTAATGCGTGATCATCGGTGATCCAGTCCACCACGTCGCTACCCGCAGCCAAAGCCTTTGCCTTCGCCACAAGCCATGCTCCGTCTTGAGTGGCAGCGGCATCCTCTGAGCCAGGGTAACGATTAAATTGAGAAGCGAAGGCAGCCACCGCTCGGAGCATGAAATACCAGATCAGAGGCGACTGCTCCTTGTCCTCATCCTCCAGATCCACGCCCATTAAGTCGACATGCTTGTACTCTTGTGCCACACTGCGTGTCTCCAGCATGCCAATATTCGGGGCATTTTTGCAAAATGCTACCACGGCATCGAACGAGATCATGTCTTGAGGGAGTTTTAGATCGCACATCCTGTTGAGCAGAATCTGGTGCACCTTCGTTGCGTCCTCCTTGGCTTTGGTCATATACAGTTCCTGCAACGCCACATACCATTCCGTAGACGCCGTCATGTCCGGCACAACTCCCGTCACCGGCAACAACCCCTCGTTCTGCTTAATAAAATCGGCCACAGCATGAGCCAAAAGCCAGAACTCCTTCGTATCTTTTGTCTTCTCCAAAGCCTCTATCGAGACAGTATGCGACGCAGCAGCAGCCAAAACCGACGCTACTTCTTCTGGCAATTGTGGAGGTACATATGCCATGTACGCATTTTCAGCAGCTTCCATAAAATTCACTTCATGACCCCAAGATCCCCATGTCATTTCCTGTAAACTCTTTTTAAACTCGTTCTTTTCTAAGAACGAGGTGGGTAATTGACCATCATAATTCTCCTTCCACTTTTTCATGGCCTGCAATAACAAAATTACAAATGGCACATGTGCATGATCAATAGTTGACATGGACTGCAAGTCAAAAGTATCTGCAAACTTCTGGAGTGTTGAAAAAGGCTTGGAAAGTCTCAATTCATGTCGTGGCGGGTCCAATTTTGCGTCAACGATCGCATGTTGAGCCACTTGAAGTCGTAGTGAGCCTAGAAATCCATATGATGTGATTATCAGCAATGGCAGCCTTTTGATCAGACACAATTCGGCCAATTTAGTCGTGACCAATTCGTCCAATTGTGTAGCCAGGACCAAATCAAATTGGTCCAAATACTGCGGTTCCTCCTGCAGCACCTGCTTGACATTTGCATGTCGTGCGACTCCAGTCACATCCGTGTTCATTTCCAGTAGTAATTTAGTCACAATCTCAGCTCTGGAGCTCCCTATAGAGTCCAAAGTGACGAAGAAATTATTCGTCGCGTCTGCTTGCGTCACTCTCTGGTCGTCTAAGATCGTAAAGCGCTGGACACCAGGCAATACGAGATTTTTAAGCGCTTCAGAACCAGTAGCACACGAATTAATGAGAAGAATGTGCGTATTAGCGAGCCGTCGCTGGCCTTCAGCACCCCATAGTCGCAGTTGACGGTCATACTTGTCACCCATTGTCAATTAATAAAAATTCAACTTGAATTTCACTGAAATTATCGAAAAAATGATTGAAATGGATGGAATTATTAGATTGATGAGGAAAATGGGTAAAGTTGAAGTGAAAAACTGGGTAAGGTCAGTGTCGCCGATCTTCTTGCAGTCCTGTCGTTCACGAGGGCTATGCAGTGCCGGCTACGGGTTGACGACAATGTTTGGAGCATATCCGTTGCTAGGCGGAGGTACACGCCATTGCTCACATCCCTATCTCTCCGTTGTTCCTTGATAGCGACCGCTCAGAGTTGGTGAAGAAGACTTTGTTGAACTTTTGCTACCTCTTGCTACGTACTTTCGTGCTTAGGAATACTTTTGTTCCGCTACATTTAGAGCGTGGTTACGGAGACGGAGCAAGCTATTCACCATCTTCGTATTCAGGCCCGGCCAACGATGTCAGCGTTGTCTGGGAACACGTGCTTGGTATCCGCCCGTACTCAGTGTGCTTACTGTAACCCCCTGGCTTCTACATGTCCACGTGTACGTATTCAGTACATGCGGTCCGTTCCGTAGCGTTAGCTGGGCCGATGTTTGCATCATGTCTGCTTCATGCAGATAGGAATTGTCATCAGTATGACTGTTGCCCATAGCCCCAGTTTAGGAATCGTGTGGAAAGCATTCAGCCCCATTCGTGGGAGCCGAATACGGTCATCCAGTGTTAAAACTCGCCGAATGTGCAACTCAGTTAGCGTGCAGGCGTGTAGCAGTGGATACTTCTTTGTTGATAACATAATTCCTTGTCATCCACTATCTAAGGAGTCTGATCCCACCTGTAGTCGCAATAATATCCTTGTGACTGGATGTACAAGCGTGTGTAAGAGCCGGAATGTCTTCATAATATTGGAGAAGTAGATTCTGGTCGGACCCTGGTGGCCAAATAATAGTGTAAGTGAAACCAATTGAAGCAGTCTTGCGACTCTTTGATCTCACCGTTGTCCATCTGAAAAAGGACAAGTAAATTGTATGGGTGCTCCGACACCACTGCTTTACGCGCCACCAAAGCTTCCGGATGGTACGACAAAGATTTTCTTTACGGGTCTATAGCTCTAATTTTGTTGTCCGTCCGCAAGAATGTCGAGATGTCATGCAATGTATTACACGGGTAGACTAAGACTCGTGCTTTTCGTCGTCGATGGTGGTGTCGTGACGATTCCGTTGATGGAGCTCGGGTACACCGAAGATTGTACGGGTCCGACCTGCTGCACTTTTTTGTTGTCGTCAATGACCGACCTGCTACTTCAATGAGAGCGTAAGACGTCGGTTGAAGCTACAACAGTCCTTGTGTCGAAGTCGTCCCTCACAACGATGCCACTGGCGGAAACGATCTCAAGTTTGACGTTCGGTATCGAATTTTTAGGCACGGGCCGCAGTTGAAGCAGATGCTTAGCCATTGTTACAGAGATAGGTTTGCGTCTGACGTGGTGATACAACCGAAGGGATCTGACACTATTTGAATTTATGTACTGATTTTTGTATGATGAGACATCGCTAAGACCAGCTGAGTCTGGAGTCAATGAGCAAATATCTAACCTTACAAAGACCTTGTCATCCAAGCAGACCGACTTTGTTTTACAAGTCGGACTTGCATCACCACTGCATTTGCAGCCAACTGTATTTTTGACCTTGTAAGGCTCGATTAAATGTGTATTGTGTACAAGTATATATAGCAGACAGGACACATGATCATTCGTGTTTTGGCTACAAACTTTCGCTCTTTCTGCTCTTGCATCTTCACGCAGCCATTGTATTAAATTGGTACTGTACCTTCAATAACTAAACGCAATCTAAATGAATGGATACTTTCGTGTCACATAAGACCGAGCGATCTTCCAACAATATTTTCAAATTCATCACTTTCAAATTTGCCTCGTACCACACACTTGTCTATCTACAAATGGGCCAAACTTCCTCTTCCTCTCACACCTCGACCTCTGTGTCTGAGAATAAACTGCTTGATGTTGAACTTGAAATCATTTCTGCTAAGGACATCGCTGCGGGGGACTATTTCTGCATGAACGCCGCACTCAAGGGCCATGTAGCTTCAAGTGACGCCTACGCTCTCATTGAAGTAGCCGGTCAAAAAGTGGCCTGGACACGTCCCATTTTCCACACGCTCGAGCCCGTGTGGAATGAAAAGTTTTCTTTCAAGAACGTCAAACCTGACACACTGTGCAAACTCTATCTGTTGGACGAAGATATGGACGGTGATGATGCTCTGGGCGAGACACAATTCAATGCAGTCAACACGGATGGCGTTGAGACGATGTTTGAGCTGCATATCACTCGCAACGGCAAGAAAGCCGGTACTATTGAAGTTAAGGTCACGTCAAACATAAGCAAGATCAATGGCGACGGCAAATTGCAGCAGGTCGGACCTGTGCACTACTCGGCTCATTTAGGCATCACATCGGGTCTTCTTGCCCATTCTTTGACGGAAGATGACAAGCTTCAAGCTTCAGCTTACCACTTGCAAATGCACAACATCGTGCAGATCCTACCAAACGACCATGAGTGGAACAAGAATTACCCTACGATCCAGAAAATCTTTTCCCCCGACCATCTAGAGTCCCCTGCACTGCGAAAGGCAATTTCTAGCGAGCATGAATTGATCTATCGACACAGACCTAATACACAGTACGGAAAGCTTAAGGACGGATCGGACTTGTTTAAGCTGATCAACTACGGCCAGCGACTGGAAAAACCCGTGCTCTTCACGTACGCCATCACATCGACGGGCTGGTACTTTTCCGAGACGGGTGCTTCCTTCTTCAAGGACATGTTTTCCAAGCACATGCTTCACGCGAATGTTGCGTTTTCAGTCAAGTACGCGGGTGAGTTCCACATTGAGAAGGGCCACTTTGGGAAGTACAAGCTGGTGATTGACAACAACAGTGGCACCTACGCCCCACCTATGGAAGATCTGCCTAAACTCAAAGAGTTATTCGAGAACAACTTTCCGGGAATTTCGGTGGAGGCTAAGGACCGCAATGATGAGGAACTAAAGCAAATGCGTCAGAAGATTTTGGACGCATGGGCGTAGAGCAATCATACACCGAGACGAAGACATTTGCATTGCACTACAGACAATACATATACTTAGTCGAGCAAAACTTGCCAATTGTCAAGCATTAATCTACCACAAATGAGGCTGTTCTTCTTCTATAACGCATTTGTTTGTTTTCGATACATAAAGTACGTGGCAATCGACAAGACGTTGTCACTAAAGCCAATGCTACGTTCAATCTTTCAGTAAGTAGCTTCCTAAGCAAATCCAATACGGCAGTGAATACTTTACATCCATAAATCCAGAATTTCCTTGCGCTTTCGCTGCAAGTCTTCGTCTTCGCGACCCAACGCCTCGACTGCAATTCCTGGGAAGTTGTTCTCAATAAGCGCCTTTAACAGCGGTAGATCCGCCACAGGCGGCGCGTACGTGCCACTATCGTTGTCAATAACGAGCTTTGGCTCACCAAACAGAGAATTATCAACACGGAACTCTCCAGCGTACCTGATAACGAAATAGCTTAGTATGAGTCATATACACAAGAATAACACAAGATTGACTTACAACACTGATAATGCAGCACCCGAGTGCAACATGTGTTTCGATAACATGTCCTTGAAAAATGCTGCACCTGTCTCGGAAAAATACCAGCCATTCTTAGTTATGACGTAAGTGAATAGAACTGGTTTGTCTTGGCGTCTGCCACCGTGAATAAGTTTGAAGAATTCGACAGGCGACAAAATAGAACCGTATTTTGTGTTGCTGGGGCCGTGTGTGTAGATTAAAGCATGCTGCGCCAATATTGCTTGACGTAGTACAAATGACTCGGGGTAGCTTGGCGAGAAAATGCGCTGAATTGTAGGGTAGTTCTTGTTCCACTCGTGGTCCTTGGACAAGAATTGCGAGATATTGTGCAGCTGAATGTGATATGCCAAAGACTCCACTTTGGCATCGTTTGAAAATGACATGGTCATCAGTCCAGCCGTCACACTCGAGTGTACTGAATAGCGCACAGGGCCATACTCTTGGAACAAAGAACCACGTTCAGGGTACACCGGATTTGACTTGACCTACAAAAAAAGCACATCCACCCATAATTCCAATCAGACTCCATATGTGCTCAATAGTCGTTCTAGATTAACAACCTTGACGACAATAGTACCGGCATCTCTTTCATTAAGCGAGATAGCCAGCTCAAACGTCGACCTCGTGCCATTCGTATTGACCACAGTAAAGCGCGTCTCCCCCAACTCATCGTCAGCATTTACGTCTTTGTCAAACAGGGACAATCTACACATAGAATCTGGCTGGATATTCTTAAAGAAAAACTTTTCGTTCCAAATAGGTTCCAGCGTAGAAAAGACAGGGTGAGTCCAGGCCACTCTTTGGCCGTCAACTTCAATCACAACGTAAGCGTCACTTGAACACAATTGCCCTTTCATTAACGCCGTAACACCTAAATAATCTCCTGCAATAATATCCTATGTAGTAACGAGAAGAGAAAGATATTAATCAGTGCAATGGAATTTCAGCAGCAGCACATGAAGTTAAATTGGTTCTTATATCATTTTCGCACTTTAGCAGACACAATTTCTAGTTCCACATCAAGTACAGCAGTTTCAGGTAAATCAGATTCATCCGATGGTAATGGGAACAATGAGGGGGTCGAGTGCGTTGAACCATGAAGACGTTTAGTGCTGGAAGTTTGACCCATGGCAGAGAAAATGTGACTTGCAAGACGTTTCGAAAACTCAATGTGACAGGTGTTTACCGGTATACTGATATCATATACCGGTTATAGGTTTAACAGGTCGCGTTTAGGATGTCGTGTCGCGATTGGATGCCTAATCTAGGTTGACACGACAGCAAAAATACTAGCGAAATTAAGCCATAGTAACTGTGGCGATTCAATGTTGACGCTTGCAAAACCTTGTATACTTCCTATAAAAATACGAAACCTACTGATTATGAAGAGATTTCGGGTCCCCGTCTCTCGACATGGATTGAAATGATAATATTTATGACTGCTTCATCAAGGGCGATCCAGGGCGATAAACAGCAACACCTTTGCTACATGACGTGCTTTTGTTGCTGCTAGTGTCTGTGCTCTTGTCTCTTGTTACTCTGCGTCTTAAAGTGAAATCTCGTCGTAGATGACTAATTCGGTCAATTTGTTTCATAAGGATAGCAGTATGCGGGTACGAGGTCGGTGGTACCAGTCGCGCTGATAATCTGTTTTTGCATTCTCGACATCGTCATCGAGCAGAATCGGAGTAGTTTAATACCGTCGTCATCGTTTGGCCATCTATAGAGCAGAAGCAATCGGTGGCAAAAGTTGTAATATTCTTTCTGGGCTATTAGGAATCACGTAAAGATTCCAATTCTTTGGGTGCTACTGTGAAATAAATGGTCATCGTAAGGGTATTTGCTCACGTATGATGAGATGTTTCATGCGTACAAGAGAGTCATGCCTGCTCAGAACTTTCCAATTTCAGATCACAGCACTACCCGCTACAAAACAGAAGGTCGTGCCTTTGATTCTACTTTTAGTGTGGGGCATTGAATCATCAATGGTATCGTCTGGTTTTTCGCGAAGTTGATGCTACCTTTTCATCCCTGATAACACTAGTCTAGCCAAATGACGGCTATCGCCGGACAACGCAACACTTTTCTCCACGACCACTACAGCAGGATCGCATTTTATCTTAAGTTCACGATATTAAGTCTCACATTATATATCGTGTTCGCTACGATTACTACATTGGTAGATAGATTTTTAGCATTTACAAGACTGGTCTACAACCTTATAACTTTCGATACATTTTTTGCCTTTAGCATCTGCTTGTTCTTTCTGTTTGGCCTGGCTAATAGCCATTGTCGAGGAACATCTCAACGACTAGTTTCTGGCTCAGAGTACACGCTTCATTCATTACTAAGCATAGCCAGAAGATTAAGATATCTGAAAGCACCATGACGTACAATGTCATGATGCTAGCAGATATGTCAATGCGTTTCGACTGACAACGCCATGGTATGTTCATGCTTTTCGGCTCTCGGTACTGCTGCTTAGTAGTGCAAGAACTGTTGGAATATTAAGACTGATTGAGACGCACCTTTCCACAAGAACCAGCTCCCTATGTATGAATGAGAAATCAGCATCACTTTGTGCTTCTGCTACATCACAACCATGTTTTTGGTGTAAATATTTGGCCATGAATCTTGTCGATTGTCAGAAACTCCAGTCTCGCACTGTGCGTTTTCCAATCGCGCCAAATGTCTCGTTGCCTGCGTGTGGCTACGGTGTTCAGGTCACAGTGTTGAAGTCGAACTTTGGGACACGGCAAGTATAAGTACCTTCGATTTAAACTTGATCAGACAGGCAACTTCTATAGAGAATCACAAAGAAATATTGGTGTCATGGAACCCGCCATGTGTTCCCAGTGACTCTCAGTACCCATCACCTATATCTGAAATCAACTCCGTCGTGATCCAACGTCACGCTTCAACTCTGCCTACTCGTCGTGCTGACTCCATCTTCGAAGCACAACCATTCGACTTGCTCTCATGAAATGACAGAATTTGCAGGGCGGAAGTTCATTACCACTTCAGCATCTCCGTCCGCAAGTACATCTTACCAATAACGATGAAACTTTTGTCGACATGGAGTCTCGTGCTCTATGCATCGCTAGTATTGACAAAGTACCCGACTATCGCTCTTTCTTGCTGCAAGGTGTCGGGTAGAAATCAAGGCGCTCCAAAATCGTATAATTCCTCCAGCGATGTTTCTGATTACAATGAATCCGAACGGGGTCCATTTCGGAAGGTGACATCATTGCAAGCCCGTGTCCAGGGTGACATGCCCGTGTGGAATACCGACTATCAGCGGTTTGTCTCGTCCTACTACGATGCAATCGACGAAAAATACCGTGCTGTTGTTGACACAGTCAACATGGCAGCCGTGGAAGGTGCACTTAAGTACGTACAGGCTGAGTGTATCAATGCTTCCGTGGTGACTGACAACTGTGAGCGCAAGAATAATATCAAGTACATCGTCTTTTACCAGACGACAGTTGTGCAGCCTATTGCTGCCATGGAATATTATGCTAATGCCACGGACGAGCACAGCTTCGCCCTTGAGCACTGTCCATTCATGCCCCTGGACGGTGGGCGATGTAACCCCAAAGAAGATGGCTCCTTCTCCGATGAATGCAACCAGTACATTGGAGCAGCAGGTCAGCCAGATTTGGGCTTCTGCGTTGGTAGTACGCTGCAAGATAATGAAGCTATCGCGCCGTACCCGCACAACTACTGGTTCTCTTTTCCTAATAGTTGCCCTCAGGAGCTTTGGGATCACAAGACCGAGTCTTGTCGCAAGAAGTACGCAGGTGGCTTGTGTGCTCCCGGAGTAGAGCCAGATGGAGTGACCTGCACATTTTCGTACGACATTCTGGGCTATATTTTGTTGGACGATGTTGTGAGAATCACTTCCATGATTAACCCGAACACAGGAAACACATATGCCAACTACTCCGAGTTCTGCAAGGCTGGAGAGGTAGAATTCAGTGTCATGGTATTTGGTGATGAGATTACGTGGCTTCAGGGGATCGACTTTTGGGCCGATCCAGGTGATAGTCAAGCCAATGCCGAGCGAGCAGAAAAAGTCGTAGCCGCTTACAGCGCACTAGTTGCGGAGGACCCGACGACTAGTGATGGGGGAGTCATGCGGCGACTAGTCACAGCAGACGAGCTGACGGCAATTAATCCTCCGTGCCACCAAAACAGTGAAATATGTGCCGATGCCAAGTTCGGGTGCAGACGGTTATACCGCTCGCAGATATGCAATGTCTGCATGTCGGCCGACTCGGGTTGTGTGAAATCTTGCTAGTCGCAACATTCGACGCAGAACTTATCTTCGAAGCCAGGTGGTCTGGTACTACAGATACGACGCAACTCAAGTAAGACGTACAAGAAGCAGACAATTGTGCGTCTTAGTGTCGTTATGAGTACTAAGGGCAGCCAAACAAATACTCGAGCAACTTTTGACTTTATGTACGTTGACATTTACCCTCTGTAGAATCGTTAAAACAAGGTTCCACAACCACCAACAACTAATGAACCCACAGAGTATCCAAGCAGCCACAGTTGCTCACTTGATCGTTTAGGAGCAAAAAAAAGCTGGCACTTCGTCGGGTACGAGTGTTCAACTCCAATTTCGGCTGAGTTGAACTGACACAGACCCAAGAAAAATTAAACAACAAGTGCGGCATGAGTCTCCACTATCAGCACATCACGAAACCAGACATTTAGGATAACTGTCTGTAATAAGCGGAGAGACGTCTTGTGTTTCCGCATTTGTCTACTTGCTGACTGGATGACTTAGCCTCTAACGAGCGAGCTGGCAATAAAGGATCACCATATCAACATTTTTAAAATGACACCGCGGCAATGATGCAGTCAGTCACAACAAAGCCGCGGTAGTGTGCCAAAAGCCGGGGTGTAAACGCGGTTCGGTGCTAAACTTATACTCACATTTTGCTTGCGACCAATGTTGGCGGTTGCGAAAAAAGCCACAGCAATGCGCGATGCCACAGCATACACAGCGACGTGATAATTTCAGTCTGGAATGTCGAAAGTTGCTCTGCATTAATTTATTCATTGAGTTGTAACAATAGGACACCAGTTGGCCACGGTTAGAAACAAAGGCATCAGTGCTCTTACAATAGATATAAAGCACAGCTCATCTGGTGTCCATGATGCAGAAAGTGTTGGAAGTTGATGTTGAAGATTATGATTTCGATTAGCGCCAGCCGTCAATCCGGTCAGAGATAGTCAGTGCAAGATGGTAGCAGACAAGTTGGCCAGCAGCCATCTGTCGTTGAGGCGGTTGGAGCACAGACATTTAGGAGAACGAGTGGCTAGGAGGCAGACAGAAGAGATAACTAGTAAGTATCAATACAGAATCTTATTGTTAACCTACCGCTTCCTTCTCGCAACACGCATCTTGCCTGTAGGTTATGAGCCCAATGGCCGGAGCCACCGAACCGACTACGAAGACACCAGGGGGTGTCCCGCGAGCTTCGCCTGGACGCGGATCGCCAGCGCGTGCGCCCATCGCACCCGCAGTCGTCAACGATGGACCCACTTGCGAGAGCGGGCAGCGAGACGATAAGATCCTCGCCGCGCTCGCCGCACTCACCGATCGACTGGCGAGCCTCGAGACGTCGCAGAGAGTGCGAGACGAGGAGGAGCGCATGATCGGGGCCGTGGAGAGCGGCCTGTTCGCCTCGAAACTCGACGCCAACATGCGCGGTCGACCGATGACGATTGACGCGATCGGAGACGCGGAGGAGAAGGCACCGGCGCCGCGCGAGTACCAACGCGCGACCGATATGAGCGCGTCGAGATTCGCATCGCTCGAGCCACCCCGCGCGCGCGCAGCATCGCAGCAGCGCGCACCAGCGTATGCGCCACATCCGCGGGCGCATGCAGCCTCACCGACGCCGCAACAAGCCGCTCCACCGCAAGCATATGTGCGCCCGGGCCTCAACGGATATGGGATGCCGTCGGCAAGCCAGCGTAAGTTGAACATACGCAAGTTCGATGGTACAGAGCTGTACCGCGGACTCGGAAGCGGGTTCTTCGACTGGGGGCGCACGTTTCTGCGCGCGGTGAGCCTCGCGGAAGCGTCGTGTGGTTTCGGATGGACCGAAGACGTCAAGGTTGACCTGCTTGGGCACTTTCTTGCCGGCACGGCTGAGAGGTACTATCACAAGCAGGTTGACACCTGGTGGATGCAGACACCCACACTGGAGTACATAATGGAGCAGCTCCTGCGCACGTTTAAGACGTCAATCACTGCAAGCCAGGCGATGAAGCTGTTCATGGCCAAGAAGGACGCACGACGCACCTGGGCCGAGCACTTCCTGTATATGGTCGCCGTCAGCGAGGCGCGTGGTGGTGCCCACTCGCTTGTTCTGGACAACATCGTCCACCACGCTTCTCCGGAGCTGATGAACGTGATGCGTTCTAAGTATGAATCCACGCGAGTCGACTACCTGCGCCACGCCGAGGAGCTGGCGCACTTCGCGCAGTCCATTGAGCATGGCAGCAGCGCAGTGGGTCGTGAGGTCGTCGCCGCGCACGTGGAAGGCAAAATCAAGAGCGCGATTACGTGCTACCGATGCGGGCGATCGGGACACATCGCAGCTGACTGTCGCGCGCGTGTCGTGCACGACGACGAGACACCCGCAAAGGGTGGAGGCGCCAGCATGATCCTCGCGCTGACCGAGAAGCGTGTTGTGCCCACAAAGAAGCGCAACAGGAAAAAGAAGAGCTCGCGCGGAAAGGAAACAGCAGCGAGCAATGCAAGAGACGGAGCGCGAGCCATGGACGACTCATGCGGATTCGTGCTTGCAACGAGCGACGGAGCACGAGCCACGGACGGCACGCGTGGCTTCGTGCTTGCGGCGACCGATGCCACGGGGGCCGACCGAGGAGACTGGATCCTCGACAGTGGCGCGAGCCGGCATCTCGTCAACGACGAGTCACTGCTACTCAACTCGACGGCTTGCAGCCACGAGATCGCAATGGCAGACGGCGAGTCGCTTCACCTGACGCGTGTCGGCAGCGTGCGCCTCGAGGTTCTCGCGCGTGGCGCGAAGGCTGTCGTGACGCTTACGGACGTGTACCTGGCTCCGCGACTGGCAAAGAACATTGTGTCGTACGGCAAGCTCGAGAACAAAGGGTTTGCCTTCGTGCACGACGGCGACGAGCGCTCGCTCGCTCGGCGCAGCGATGGTGCAGTCGCGTTCGATGTCGTGATCGACAGTAACGTGCTGTATGTCGTGACAAAGGCCTCGCAAGACAAGGAGGGTGCAGGCGGCGACGCGATCATGGCGGCGCTCGAAGCGCATGCAACGGAAACTACCGCCGACGAGCCGCACGAAGCCTCGCTGTTGCATTGGCACCAGCGACTCGGCCACCTCGCATTCGACACGATCGAACGCATGGCGCGAGACCCGGCATCGGGCATTCGACTGAGCAGCAACAAACGCATGGCGTGCGTGTCGTGCCTCGAGGTCAAGCAGACGCGCAACGCGCAGTCGCAACAGGACAGCGGCGCGCACTCGCACATCGATCGCATCGGCGGCGTCATCTGATCGGACCTCAAGGGTCCCATGACGCCGCAGGATCGGCTCGGCAATCGTTACCTTGTGAACTTCATTGATCACAAGAGCAACTACTGCCGAGTCTTCCTCGCGAGCACAAAGGATGCTGCGGCGAAGCAATTCGAGTCATTCCTCGTTCACTTCGAGAAGCTCTTCGGATTCAAGATTCACGTGCTCCGCACGGATGGCGGCGGAGAATACGCCAACGTGGACCTATTCTGCGAGCGCACGGGCTTCGCGCGCCAAGTGTCGGAGGCGCGCAACCAAGCTTCAAACGGCAAGGCGGAAAGAATGCACCGCACAGTGCTGAACCTCGCGCGTAGTATGATGTTTGCCTGCGCGCTGCCACTGACGTTCTGGGGAGACGCGGTGCAATATGCCGTGCACATCCTCAACCGGAGCCCCACGCGAGCAAACGCAAAGAGAGCGTCACCACTCGAGGTTCTGACGGGAAAGACGCCGGATCTGCGCGGAATCGTCGTCTTCGGCTCCCCGTGCGACGTGTACAGGGACCCGGGCAAGAACTCGTTGCTGCAGCGCTCGAAACGCGCCATCATTGTCGGCGTCAGCGAAGAAACCAAGGGCTACAAGGTGCTACTACCGCGTGACAACAAAGTGGTCGTCACGCAGAACATCAAGAACATCAAGACGTTGACGGAGGCGCAAAACGTGCAACTTCAGCGTGCGATGGACGTCGGCGATCGAGCCGTAGACCTGGAAGAGTCGGACATACCATCAGCAGCAGCGGTGAACGATGGTCGCGCAGAGGGAAGCAGCGCGACGCGGAAGAAGAGAGGAAAGCGATGGACGCGGGCGGCGCATGGAACACGCGGTGCGTCAAAACGCGCAGAAGCGGCTGCTCGTCAGGAGGAGGCAGCCGCGAGCGGAGAGGTCGTAAACGCTGTTTTTGAGCACGATCCGCTTAACTACGGACAGGCGATGCGCAGCGTCAAGCGCGAAGAGTGGGAGAAGGCTATGAAAGAGGAGATTGCCGCGCTTGAGGCCAACGACGTCTGGAAAATCACAAAGCGAGCGCCAGGGACGCACGCGTTGCACACTAAATGGGTCTACAAGACCAAGACGGATGCGCAGGGCGGCCTCGAGCGGCTGAAGGCGAGATTGGTGGCGTGCGGCAACGAGCAGGTGCTCGGCGTCGACTACACGCTCACCTTCGCTGCCGTGATGGACCTGTCGACGGTCAAAGTGATCCTGGCGCTTGCGGCGACGTGGGGGGTGCCTGCCAAGCACGGCGACATCCCCAACGCCTACGTCAAAGCCGACATGGAGCCACACCTCCGCATCTTCCTTCAGATGCCGCGCGGCATGCCGGTATCGGAGGAGACGCTGCGAGCGCATAGCGTTGCGAACGCGAGTGAGCTGGTGCTGGAGCTGAGAAAGAGCCTGTATGGGCTCAAGCAGGCAGGCCGGCTATGGAGCCAGCTGCTGCACTCGAAGCTCACTGTTGCTGGTTTCACGCGGTGCGAGAGCGACATGTGCTTCTACTGGAAGCGCGACGGCGACGACCTCGTCGTGGTCGGCGTGTATGTCGACGATCTCCTCGCGACAGGGACGAGCGCGGCAGCGGTCGAGCGGTTCTTCAAAAGCCTTGCTTCGTTGTCGATTAAGGACCTGGGGCGGGTTAGCAAGTTTCTGGGCATGCGCGTGACGCACAATGGTCAGCGCGGGTACACGCTCGATCAGGAGGAGGCCATCGGAGACCTCCTGCGCGACAACGGGCTCGCCGACGCCAACTCGACGTGGACGCCGATCGACGACAGCTGCTACGAGATGGAGGAGGGCGATGCGGATCTTCTTGGGACGCCAAGTGCGCGACTAGGACCGACAGTGCGCCAGTTCCAGTCGCTGGTCGGCTCGCTGCTCTGGGTGGCGCGTTGCACGCGCCCCGACATAGCATTTGCGGTGCACAAGGTCACGAGACGAGCACACGCGCCTCGACTGGCAGACTGGAAGCTGGCGAAACGCGTCACGCGATACCTCAAGGGTACGGCGGCGCTCAAGGTCGCGATGATTCCAGAAGACAACCCGGGTGCGGTGATGTGCCTGGAAGCGTTTAGCGACGCGGATTTTGCCGCCGACAAGACGGACCGGAAGTCAATGACGGGTAGCATCGTGATGCTTAACGGGATGGCCGTCAGCTGGGGTGCGCGGAAGCAGGGAGGCGTATTCCTGTCGACGATGGAGGCGGAGTTTGTTGCGGCGAGTGAGGTCGCGCGCGAGCTGCTCGGCCTGCGTGAGATGTTGCGCGAAGTGGGCGTGGAGCCCAAACTCCCGATGCAGTTGCGAGTGGACAACCAAGCGGCAATTGCGCAGATCGCGGGCGAGGCATCGTCGCTGAAGGCGAAACACGTGGTTGTGCGCCTCAAGTTCCTGTGCGACTACTCGCGTCGCGGCATTATCGTGGCGAGCTACGTCAGGTCGGAGCAGATGCTCGCAGACCTCCTCACGAAGGCGTTGGACGCGACGAAGCTCTCGACACTGCGCGCGCTCGTGCACATCATGTAAGGAAAGAACAAGAACGATCAAGGGTGTTAAAGGACGTTGGAGGGTGGAGTAAGGGAAGAACGGAGGCGTAATCGAGGAGGAGTGTTGGAAGTTGATGTTGAAGATTATGATTTCGATTAGCGCCAGCCGTCAATCTGGTCAGAGATAGTCAGTGCAAGATGGTAGCAGACAAGTTGGCCAGCAGCCATCTGTCGTTGAGGCGGTTGGAGCACAGACATTTAGGAGAACGAGTGGCTAGGAGGCAGACAGAAGAGATAACTAGTAAGTATCAATACAGAATCTTATTGTTAACCTACCGCTTCCTTCTCGCAACACGCATCTTGCCTATAGAAAGAAGGCTTTATTAACAACACCATAGGTCAATAATTGAGAGACAGCAAACAATTGAAGTAAACATTAGCTATCAACGACAACTTTATGTGAGCTCTGAGTTTCCTCTCGTCGGGTACAAGACAATATGACTGCGCGGTCGCTTGTCCTCAGCAAATTCAGCACAGGCAGACATTTGCTGTCGCACTCACAAACAGCTTCTCCATGTTTTAGCGAGCATTACGTGGCTCGTATGCACAGCTCAGCCTGGTGACCTCACCGTTAAACTTCTCTTGGCGCGCTTGCTAACGGGTGACGATGTAGGGAGAACTGGGTGAATGTCTGGAGCTGAAAGCGGCCAGCGCTGAGAGGTTTACTGCCTGATAAGCCCCTGTAGTGGTTAGCATTTTATTATCGATACCTCTCGTGCGATAGCGAGGGCGTATCGATTCTAGCTTCCTTTCCATTGCTCTGCAAGTACGCCCTTGACGCGAGGTCGTCTCGAATTCACTATGACGCGGCACTTGGTCGTAGTCAAGCAATTGTTGAGCATAATGCATTGGAAAGAGCATGAGCAGATACATTATTACCCCCGGTTAGCTACCACCTGTGGTAAATGTTGATGGCAAAAATATTTCTTGTTGGCGCCAATGCGTTGACGTTAACACGTCGCTTTATGATCTGATATATAGGACAGCGTCCTCAACAGCAGTCGATCCATCTCCGCGTCGCTCATACCGCAGCTGTGTATATAGGACAGCGTCCTCAACAGCAGTCGATCCATCTCCGCGTCGCTCATACCGCAGCTGAAGCGAGCGTTGTTTTCTGTAAGCCGCAGATGCAGCGAAGTTTTGCCAGCCTTGTGGCTGGGCCTCAAATGAGCTATAGGAGCGCCCACGTGCGACAACAATCCTTACTAGATAGTAGATCTGAAGACGAAGTGGTTGCTCAAATAATAATTTCATCATATCAACAAACCAATTGTTGGTGCTTCGATGCTTCTACATTTAGTTTTCTTCTGGCGCTCTCAACCAATTAAAGCCTGTGGGCGGAGCTTAGGTTTTAGCGACTGGTCCATTAGCATGTTCTCAATGAGTTGCTGGCTCGATGTGATGGTGGCGAACATGAAACTTAGCACGAATTCTGTAAAGGTTCCGACCGTGGACAGATCGAACGGCCCAGCGTCGGACATCTGGGGCGACACCAAGCAACACGTCTGAAACATTGAAAAGTCGTCTCGTCCTCGTACGCGCTTACTGATGACGTAACCCTTCTCGCAAAAGCCAAAGCTCGTGAAAGGTGACTTGGAATCTTCGAGCGCCGATGCAGTGGAAACCCAGACTACAACCTGTCGATCATCTTCAACGTAGCGCCGTACGACCTGCTTGACGCGAAAATCAGCAGCCATGTCGTTTGCCATGAATTCAATAGCAAACATTTCGGCCACAGTATCGGATGATGATTCGACATCCTAGTCGTCCACACACAGCACAGTCAGTTAATAAAATCACACCAAAGTCTTGTTTACGACCTGTGTCCGTACCTTGGAGAAATTTTCGTACAGGTTACCGCGGTGTTTCTCACTGCCTCGGAAATGCGTCCATACCGCCTCAGCTGCAGTGTTAAAGTCGAATGGCAGCATCTTGTTAGTGAAAATGTCTGCATACAAGCCCTGTGAGCCTTCACGCATTTGGGCGTTGGTGCACGCGGTTTCAAGATATTTGAGCCCATTTGCAGCGAGAACTTCGTCCACCTCGTGGTATGCTGCCTCTGCGCGAGCCAACAACGTATCGTATGTATCTTTATCCAGAAGAAGGTCCCACGTGGAGCCCTGCGCGTCGCCAACAGCGTTACCTACGACACCATTGAAGCCGGCCAACTGCTGCCGTGTCCGCCTCTGCATCACTGCCTCCATACTTTTCGCCAGCTTAATCTGACTTTCCAAAACTAGCTTAAGCCGCGCGTTCTCACGCTCTGCGTTCTCTCGTCGTTGCTGTTGGGCTGACGCCATGTCACGCCAAACAGGAGTCATTTCCGCTGTCGAGGGTTTCGTGGTGGTTGGCATGCTGGTGAAATCCTTATTGTCAATATACAGCTGGCGAAGAGAGAGAAGCTGGTCTTCCATTTGCTTGACTTTATTGCGTAGATAGGCTAGCTCATTCTTTCGATTGTCACGAGCCCGATTTGGATTTAACCTCACACGTTTCTTAGACTTGCCGCTTGTAACGTGCTTTTCATTGCCACGGGGACTTTGATGGTTGGATTCGTTGTTGGCGTTGACGACTGGGCCGGCAACTAATAAAACCGAGTTGCTGGTCGGACTGGACGCTTGGGCAGACGCTCCTATTGTTGAGGTCTCAATTTTTACCGCATTTGAAGCATTTACATAGCTTGGCATCTCTGTTTCTAGCAACAGGCTCTCCAGCTCATCGTCCATGATAGTCACGCCGTTCCCTCCATTCATCCCGACGGTGACTGACGCTAAATCTGACGAGAAAGAAGCATGTAGAAGTGAACTACAAACCCCTTCATTTCCATGTGGAATTGCTCCGTGCTTCAGCGCGACATGCGAGAAGTCATCCACAAACGACAACGTCGCCTCCAGCGCCTCCAGCGTCTCCATCTCGTCGTCGTGCAGTAACATACTTTTTCCTGCTTTTAGAAATTGACAATTACTAATTTTTATAATACACCGTCTGATCATTTGACAGGCCAACGAATAGACGACCAAGTGAATGGTTCTTCGAAACTTCAACCTGGTCGCAGCAGAATTTTAAAACAGTCGCATATAGATTTTAATTATACATATCCCGACGGAGAGAATTTAGGTTTGTCAAAGGTTCTGGCATATTGTTCGAGTAAAACTTGCTTCTTTTATCACACGTCGCCTTTATCTTACCTTACTAAATATCTGAAAACCGTATCCATCGTGATTGTTTATGCAAAAAAGTTACATTATACGCTTAAAAAATTCACCAATGCAATTGGTTTAATCAGTCACGCGCAAGGTCAGCGCGCTCACGGATTTCGTGTCAGGGTTCGTGGCCGATAGCATTAGCATGAGCCCACCAGATGATCGAATGTGCTGCTTCGAGAAACGCTAAAAGGGAAGGCAGCAAAGTGTCGCTTATTGTCAGACATGAATCTGCATGGGTGTGCGAAGTTTGGCGCCAACGTTAATGCAAACTCGTTGTACAGAGTGCAATTTAGTAAAGAATGGCAACAAAATGAGGCTCCGTGTCCTCTACAACTCCACAGTCTAAATGTAATGTGTTCCCTATCCTCAAGTTGCTACGGGCACTTTTCTTTAACGTTGATCTCCTTGCTATCAACCTGCATCATCGCTTTTGTTTCGGTCCGAAAGTGAAGCGCTCCATCTATCAGGTAGTTTTCAATCATCTGGTGGCTTGAGCTAATCGTATGCGACACTGAGTCTAGCAAAAAATCGGTCAGAGTTGTGAGAATGCGCTCGCGATCAGCAACATGACCGTAAATTTCTGGGCGGAGAACGTAGCACGTTTGTATTAGGGCGCCTCGGCGGCCACTAGCTTGTGAAGGTGCCTTAACCACGGTAAAACACTTCTCATGAAGTCGGACACCCTTTGTAGGCTCAGCAGAAAGTTCAAGTGCCTCGGAGTACATGGGCCAGGCGATTACGACGCGGTGAGGTTGAACAAACTTCCTGCGAATCTGACGTACGCGGAAGGCGGCGGTGGCGTTGCGACTGCCAACAAGCTCGAGGCCGAAACTCTCCATTAACGTATCGTCGGTCGATTCCGTCTTCTACGTATGAACAGGCAAAAGATTTAATCCTTGTGCTTCACAAAAAATAAAGACTCAAAGCAAAATGACTACCTTTAGTTGCTTCTGGTAGACGAAACGTGATGGGATGTGGTCCATGGAATGAAGAAAGTGCTTCCAGACTGCGTCGCTCGTAGCGTCCACGCTGAATGGAACAACTTTGTTGGCGAAAATCTCCATTATAATGGACCCATTTTCGAGCCGAACTTGCGCGTCTGCGTATGTCTTTTCCATGCGAGCAAGTCCGTTTGCCTCAAACGCAATGTCCACCTCGTCGAGAGCAGTACCCAATTCGTTTTCGAGACGAGCAAAAATGGCCGCCTCATCTTCTTCCTCTGTCGACGTCGGCTTTCTGTGCTGCAAACTGGTCAAGTACTTGCCCTGAATAGATTCCATCACCTACATACCAACCCAGAACAGCATCGTTATCAAAAAAATCCCTTCTACAACACCGAAGACACGTGTCCCACCCGTAAGCTAGTACGCTTTGTCAGCATTTTCTCCAGGCTTTTGGCCATCTTGACCTGACCCTCAAGAATTAATTTCAAACGAATGTTTTCCAATTCGACACGGCGTCGCTCTTGATACTGGCGCGCTGCGATCTCTGTCCAAACAGGCCCCATCGCCGCATCCTCCTTCATATCTTCGGTCGACAGTGGCTCACTGATGACGGTATGTCCCTGCAGTGCAGCAAGAGCAAATGCACCCTCAGTGAACGTATGTGTTTCTTCTGGAATTGAAGCTTTCATAGTTGCAGACGCAGGCGAAGGCACAGGAAGCGCTCGACGCTGTGATAGCTGCAGCGTTCGAAGTCTCGCCTCCATTGTCTGCACTGTTTTGCGAAGATAAATGAGCTCTTCTTTTCGTTCGTCACGCGCGCGATTCGAGTTATGAGACGCGGTTTTGCGCTTCTTTCCAGCGCCTAAAGCGGTGACCGGCGCCTTGTTCTTGCGCTGCTTCTGCTTGGCAACGGACGTGGGCGTCTTTTTGACGGGACTGCTAGTAGCGAATGTTAACGCAGGCGTTACAGCGGGGGAGATTTCGGCGCTTAAGTTTTCGCTGCTTGGCATCAGATCGTGCGCATTGAACATCGAAGTAGCCACTTCGGTGGTCGACATGATAAAGTCGCTGCGGTTGGTGTACAAGGGGCCACGATACTCGTCGTCGGACACAAGCAGACGTGATATGGCTGCGTCGTAGTCTTCGTCTTGACAGTCGGATAAAAGAGCTAGTGCCTCCTGCATTAGCTCCTCCTCCTCCTCCTCTAGCTGCCACTGATCCATGCCCACGGGCAAGCCGCGAGGCTCGCTGTGCGCAATAATTATCGAAAGGAGAATGATTACGGTCAGATTCAAGCCAGGTAGGACTCATGCTTGTCCCTATTGTAAATTTTGTGAGACTTACCTGAGTGTTTATAGCGGAACTGAAATAATCGTGTGAGGAAAATCCATAATTCAGTACATGTATCTCATAAAGTATGCACATTTGTCAATTTCTTGTTGTCTTGTTCGCTTTATTATCAGGGTGACATCTTATCAACTACACGAGAGTACCGCTGCTTCTATATATTAAAAGCTGGTGTCATAACTGTTACTTTTTGCTACTTAAAATGAAAGGTGTTTCGAAGTAGCGACTTCGTGAAGAGTTAACCTTTCCGTACACGAAAATTCGACAGACAAAAGCTCAATAATTTTCTTCTGAGGTACAGCTAATCCATTTAGTATTTCTTAACAACCTGGTACTGTCCTCTTCGACGAGGGCCTACACATCCATGACTGGCCATGGCTATCGTGCCATGGACGGGCGTTTCTGCCGGATGTTCTGGGTGCCAACCAGTTAAGGGTAGCCCCAATTATTCTATTCTGGCGGCCTGTCGATCATATAATATAAATGCAATGAAGCCGATTAGTCCAATTCTAATTTTAAAACAAACTAAAGGTAAATTGGATCGATGCTTACTTTTGATCTTGGTTTCATCTCATACACAATCGTACGGGCTTTTGCTTTAGCTTCCTTATACATTTCTGTCAAATGCTCAAGCATTCTCTCCGATCGAGCCGCTTGTAAATTTTCGCGCAAAATCTGCACTGTGCATGTAGACGGGCACTTCTACGAAGTTGCCTCGTGCTACTAGCACACACCTTCAGCACAAGCGAGGAAGCGGTTAGACCGTCTTACCTTCTCGTGCGAGGGTGGTTGTGTGGTTGGTCAGCTGCTTAAGCAGTCGTACCACCAGTTGCTTCTCGCTTAAGCGAGAGTGCAACGAACTTTTAAGACAAGAAGGCACCGACGTCACGTAGAAGCCTTTTCAGCTTCTCGTGCGTGGTGCTTCGGTGTTTAGCAAATTCAAGACTGAGCTATTTTTAGTAGATTTAAACTAAATATAAATCTAACTACTTAGTGATCAAGATGTACTGATGGGTGCCATCTCTATAAATGCGCATCCCAACGTGCGAGCTTAAATATATTTAAGCTCGCTCAATGGCGTAACTGACTGACGTCATTTGATGACGCCTAGTCCCAGCTGGGCGTCATCCCCATCAACGTGAATACACCTAGTGTATATCACATACGCATGGGTGTGACACATGGTGTGTTTCACCCGACCGACAGGTCTTAAGTACTTACGTACCTTTCGAGACCTGCCCGTTACACCATCCCCCCTTTTAAAACGATTTTTACATTTTGTAAAACATCGCCTAGGAGACAGAGAGACTGCGAGCCGTTGTAAAACGCGCCGCTCAGTCTACTCGATTCTCATGCCACCGAAACGTGGTAAGGCTGATGGGTCGCCTGAAAAGGCTCCCATGCAGTCCAACGCGCCGCGATTGTTTACAGCCGTCGCAAAGTGCTTCAGGCACTGAGAATAATCTTCCATCTCACTATAATGTGGATGAAGATCCATCTCTCATTGTAGACTACAATGAGAGCACGCCATTTCCATCACCCCAAAGTGGAGATGAGCAAAGCGCATTGATGGGACATATTTCCCCATCGTTTGAGGCACCCGTCCTTGAGGGAGCATCTATGCTTCCTACAAGCGAAGGTAAAGCCTTGTCGCCTGCGCCTACGAGCGCAGCGACTAAGACTGATCACGCTACTTCGAAAGGAGTAGTCGCGACTCAGTCAGATGTGGCTCCTCATACTGATGTCTTGACGATCCATAACGGAGAGTCAGACTCAGGTGAGTGTGAGCTGAAAGCTCCACCAAGTACACCGTCGGCCTCACTAGCCCGCCGTCGCGAGGGCGGCTACGTGAGTGGTGGCTTGCAACCAATGCCACCTCCATCTGAGTGGATAAACTCGGATGGGTCTAGTGCAACGCTTTTGCAGCGTGCGACTATAGACGCTCATAAATTTTATAGCGTCTTTCCCTTGTGGAAAAAGCAGGGCAAAGCACTTCGTCGTGCTTCCCCAATTCCAGTCGTGCTGCGTTCTAGCGAAACAGCCGACGAATATGAAGCTGAACTTCGGCGCCGTGTAACGTTGCAGGTAGATGCAACGAAACAACGGTCGCAGCGAATCAGCTTTGCCATGAAGCGTGCGCATGAAATTTTGGGTGGTAAGCGACCTCCAATTGATTATCACTACGCTTCTTCTGCTAGTCCATCCAGACCTAGCAGGATGACAACAGCTGGTGCTGCTTCACATAAGCAGCCACCAGCCCAGGCACGTCGACGCGCAAAGCGTCCACAGGCTCCCATGAGTCAAAGCTCGTTGGGTAACCCTTCCACTGGACAATGATTTGGAGCTTTCGCTTTCACAAACCGCTGGCCAACAGCCTTCCAACAAAGAAGCGCGTATTCCCTTCTGTGTCCACCAACACAGGTGGCGCCCGATAGGAGTGGCGATTACGCCTACCTACTCGCGGATGCCTATCCTGCTGCCTATCCTCTGTGTTTAGTCGCAAGCTGAGATCGCTGTGCTGAAGAGGCAGGTAGCAGATCTCGAGAGTCAAGTCTCGCGACTGACTTTGGATCTGCGCGATGTGAGGACGAGGGACCGTCAGGGGTATGACCGCCTGAAGACCCGTTTGGACATCTTAGAGCGACTGGTGATGAGATACCCGCGTCAAGCGCGGAGTCCTCCTCGATCGCCGAGTCCTCTATCGCCTCGTTCGTATACGGGGAGCCTCTCGGCTTCCTCGTCGCCTGATCGGCCGCGACGCTCGACTCGCAGTCGACGTCACCATCGGTCTCGTTAGACCGATGTGGATATGTGATCTCTTCTGGACCAACATACCGTTTCAGGCGACCCACGTAAAAAACGGGGTGCGTCTTCATATACGGTGGGAGAGTGAGTCTATAGTTTAGGTTTCCAACTTCTTCAACCACTGTAAAGGGCTCAATGAATCGGGGCGATAGATTAGTAGTACCGCTAGGTAGTACAGAATTTGCATATTAAGATAGGGTAGCAGTCCTTAAAATCACTTTGTCCCCCACACTAAAGTGTTCATTGTTTTTGCGACCATGCTGGTCTGCATATTGTTTTTGCTTGTCCTGTGCGCTTTCCATCGCGTCACAGACTTTACGTGTGATGGCTAATTGCTCATCTACAAAGCGCTGAGCTTCGCTCACGCTTTTAGTATCCATCTCGCCTATGACGCCTCCAAGAGGTCGACGCTGTTGATCACACTATAGAGTCATCGTCATGGAGCACTGGCATTTCTTGCCGTGCCTCCTCTGCGGCACCTATAGGCGACGTGACCACTGATAAACAATCAGGGTCACTAGGGCAGCCTTGGCCCTTTTTGGCATTCGCACCGAGCGAAGTGAGGGGATCTTTACCACTAAAGCTCGGGCTGCGCACAAACGAGACTGGCGTCCGAGGATGGCGCAGTCCGTTAATGTAAAACGGTGTTTCACCCGTACTGGCGTGAACACTGTTATTAATAGCAAACTCCACGAATGGCAATTGCTTGCTCCATTCTTTAGGAGTCGCTACTGTACGCAACACATCCGCCACAGCTCGATTGGCACGTTATGTTTGGCCATCAGTATGGGGATGATCAGCGGTTGACATGTGGAGCTTGCTTTCCAGCAGCTCAAACACATGTCGCCAAAAACCCGACGTAAAACGCGGATCCCGGTCCGATACTATGGACTCGGGCATCCCGTGTAGTCGATACACGTGATCCAGAAACAAGAGGGCAGCCTCTTTTCCTGAGATTTTGGCGCTACATGGTGCCAAATGCACCATCTTGCTAGACGACGAGCCCCGTCCTGCCTTTGTGGTCAGGCAGTAAGCCAAACATGAAGTCCAAACTGACCGACTTCCAACAATCCGTTGAAATCGACACTGGCTTCAGTGGCGCACTGTTCGAAGGTGCAGGTTTTATGCGCTGACACTCCGTACAAGAGCGAATATAGTTGCCACTCACCAATATAGGTGGGGCCACCAAAATTCCTCTGACACTCGTAAGATTGTTTTTTCACGGCCCAGATGCCCACTAGATGGCGCATCATGGCACTCGTGAAGTATCATTAGCTTAAGATCTGTGTCATGGGGGACATAGATTCTCAAGGGATCACAGGGTGACAGTTGATGCCATAACAGGCCATCACTGTAACTAAAGCGCTATAGTTTCGCTTTGAGGTGCGACGGAAAGTTAACCTTTCGTCCACCAAAATGATCCAACAGCAGGCGACAATGTTCGTCCTGACTGTAACACTCCTTTATATCGGAGTCCATTGAGCTCGTCACATGGTAGGCCTTCATGGCTGCCAATGTTGACGACTCTACTTGTGCTTTCACACGAGACACACTATCCTGGTGTCTTGCCTCGAAGTCTGGTCTGCACGATAACGCGTCAGCCAAGACATTCGACTTACCTGACTTAAATTCATCTTTAAAATTATATTCAGAGAAGAATGTTATCCATCTCGCCATTCTAGGCGAGAGGTGCGGTGCATTTATAGCGGTCCGCAGTGATTCGTGATTCTTATAAATCCACAAAAGGCTCGGTGCCCAAGAGGTGCACCCGAAACTTCACAAGGGCATACTTAATTGAAAGTAGCTCCTTGTCATACACAGGGTAATTCAGCTCGGCAGCTTTTAAAAGCCGAGACTGATAAGAAATGACACGGTCAATGTCGCTGTCATCCTTCTGAATGAGCACGCTGACGATTGCAAAATTGCTTGCATCGCAGACGACGCTAAAGGGCTTATCCGCGTCTGGCAATGTCAAGACCGGTGCCTCTACAAGATATCGCTTCACTGATGTGAATGCATCTTCTTGCTCCTTTGACCAAGTCCATTCTGTATCCTTTTTCAAAAGATCAGACAATGGATTAGTCTGCTCCGCATAATTCTTGCTGTACTTATGCAAGTAATTAGCGAGCCCAAGGAATTGGCGCATATCCTTCACGTGTCGTGGGACTGGCCATTCCTTGATAGCCTTAAACTTTATCTAAGTCTACTCGTACACCATGTGCACCTACGATGCAGCCCAATACAGGTATCTCGGGTACCTTTGTTACACACTTTTGCAAGATAACGTATAAATGGGCGTCACCCAGAGTCTGCAACACAGAGTCTAAATGGCGCTTGTGCGACTTTATCGCGCTCAGACCGTCCTCCGCCCTACTATGCACGAATACATCGTCAAAGTAATGGGGCGCGTAGGCACAGTGCTGACGCATCACGTGAGCCACTACTTGGTTGAAAGTTGCCGGAGCATCTAGCAACCCTTGTGGCATCACAAGCCACTCCCACAGCATATCCCTTGGGGTGCTTATTGCCGTTTTGGCTACTTCGGTATCTGTCATGAGAACCTGATAGTAGCCATCCTTCAGATCCAACGCGGAAAAGATAGTTGACTTTCCCATGGATTTCAACAAAACATCTTTCCGCGGGATCGGCGTTTAAGCTGAAATGGTGGCCATGTTCAGCTTATTATAAGCATGAACCACGCGCCATCCATCCGTGTCTTTACGCACACAGAAGGTCGGGCTGCAGTGAGGCGACTTGCTCTCACGTACATGTCCCGCTTTAGCTCGCTTGTCGAAGAACCCATCGATGTAATCGACTTGTTCCTTCGGCAACAGCCACTGCCTGGTCACACAATATTTGGTGTTAGGATACAGGTCAGTCTCGCGCCTGATGCCCCTATCGGCCGGTAGGCGGATCAGCACTTCTGCTGGAAACACATAACGGTGTTTCCACAGAACATCATAGAACGGGCTGTCCTTCAAGGCATCCCAGCCTTGAGCAGCATACCGTTTCTTTTTGTCGGTCTCCAAGACGCTCTCATCCATTGTGTACGACGAGCAACAGTCCACCACGTTCTCTTCTGGAACTGGTGCGACTATCTCGTGGATGTTTCCTTCCTTTAGTTCGGACAGGAACAGATCCCACGTCATCTCCGAGAGATTTACCATCTCCTCGGCAGATGCCACGACAAGTTGGAGCACCTTAACTGAGGATGTCTCCGGCTTTTTGTCTTCGACGGCCTCGAACCACTCGTTCGTAGGTCCGTCCTCTTGGACCGAGACTGATACAAGGGTCACTCGTTTCGACGTGCCCTTGATCGTCTTAATACGTCTAGTGCTCGTTCTTCGAGTCACCACGACCTTTGATCTAGGATTGCTTCTCAACTAAGGCAATTTTCAATTGCCGCTTTCATCGTATTTGGCACCTAACTGAAAAGGTTCTGACGCGATGGGCCGTGCCGTAGTCCGTTCATAAACGTTGGCACCTTAATGTGTTCCGGTATCGGACTCACATTAATGGACGCAGACAGCGAACGCATCTCCTGCACATACTCTTGCAGCGATCGTTTTGCCTTTCGTGCTCCAAAGAAGCGCGCCTGAAGTACCACTTCATTGTTAGGTGGCTGGTATATGGCACGAATCTTTGACTTAAAAGATCAACCATGATGAAACGCATCCTCGTTTGCCTTAAGCGCAGATTAAGCCCACTCTGACGCTTTGCCACGCAAATTTGACATACCATTCTGGTGTCGTCTTCGTTAAGCTGCGCCATACCGCATTGCTCCACGGCTAAAAGACAGTGGACAATCGTATGTGGGGCAGTCCCATTAAACTTCGAAGGGTCCATCCGATGGGCCTTGGCTGATTATACCGGACAGAGAGCTCCTCAACAGTTCTGTTGAGCGCCTAGTTTCGAGCTTGCTCACGCTACAGCTCATTCTAAGTCTTATTGATTGACTCAGCCGTGGCTTGGCTGTTTGCCTCGGACGCGTTTCTACGCTGTCCGAGCACAAACGTTTCATATTGCTCCAATTGAGCAACATAGTGCTCAGGAGGACAATTTAAGAGATTGTCCAGGGCTTGTTCACCAAGTCCGTGCGCCAATGCTCAGACAACTCCCTATGATGTTCAAAGAGGTGAGGAAAATCACCCCAATCCACGTTGAGGGACATCCGTATCCACACGCCACACGCACACTCAGAGAGACGGGTAGTGGGAAGGACTACTAGTGCTTAAAAGTGTAAACGGGCGCTTTAATAGAAGCTACCACGTACTACGCGAACAGAAACCTTCGAGGAGCGTGAGAAAGTGGTTATACCGTCTTACCTCCGCGTGCGGTGGTGGTGGTGTTGGTCGACGCCGAAGCGCTGTACCAATTGTTACTTGTCGCCTTTAGCAAACCGCGCAACTAGCTTTAAAACAAACACCTAACTCAGTCACGGAAGCTGTAATCAGTCTTAATGTGTGCAGTGAGCAGTAGTTATGATATTCAAGACTGAATTAGATTCGATAGAATGTAGTCAAATCAAAGTCTAATTACCGAGTGGTTGAATGGAAAAATTGGATACGCGTCTCTTAGATACGTATCCTTACGTGCGAGCTTAACATTTATTTAATCTCGCTGATGGCGTCTGTCTGAAGCGTCACCATGACGCTTAGTCCCAACCAGGCTTCATCCCCGTTGTATGTGAATCCATCCATGGATATCACATTCACGAGGGTGGGTCACATTGATGTGCCTCACCCAAATGACAGGTTTAAAGTACCACGTACCCTTTTAGACCTCCCCGTTAAGTATCAGATACCTACCGGATTCGTGTAACTATTAGCCCGTTACACGTGTAAAATTTGTATACTAATAAAATTTTTAGTAAAATGTGAAGGGTATGAATTTAATAGCTTCCCTTTAACTGGCAGGTCCAGCCTCAAGGTTCAGACTGCTAGAAGAACTTAAGTCCTTGACTCCCCTCTGATTGTACCCGTCCCAAAGGTGTGAGACATGTAGTGATCTGTATTTTTGTGCTATTAGTGAAAGCTATATGTAAATTTACGGTGTTTAATATTGTCTTGCT